ACAATGCATTTCTGACTATATTGATCTTAACTTACACAAAAAAATATCATCCACAATAAAAATAACCTATATCGATTTCATAATAATTATCCCCACCAACAAATTAATTATTATTCTTCTTCCTTCCTCCTCCTCCTGCAACTTCTTCTCAGAAATAAATAACAATTAGGTTTTAACAATGTCTATAATTTTACAAAAGTTTCACTCCACTCCACTCGAACCATCCAACACAAGCAGGATTATTGTTCGTCCTTCACTATTCATCAATTATCTATGAATTCTTCTTCAGAATTATGACACGACTAAAAAAAAGTTCGACAATTACCAAAACAAAATGTAAACAACGGAACTGTTGTTCACCACCACTTCGTTAATATTACACCATTTTCTTGATAACAAAAGTACTTATTATCCGGTGGGTTTTGTTTGCTGATTGTCATTTGCATAACAAAAGAGGAAGAAGAAGAAGATACCATGAATTAAGAGGAACAGACTTTTTTCAATATTTTATTCAATACAATCAAAGTCTGTCCGTATAGCATCTTCTTTTTCCGTGCAGATCGTGTCGTTTAGATCGTTCCCTAATTAAGGAAATAGATAGAGAAAAAGTACGCAAAAAATTTCCACTATGTTGAAGTGAAGAAAATATGGCACTTTTGCAAATTAAATTACAGGGCTTGTTTAACACTGTTTTTTCTTTTACAAAATGTGGTGGTGTCGATATTTGTACGTTTTAATGGCACACTGTTTTGTGTGCAGAGATGGTTGGGACAAAAGTGTGGAATAATTGGTTGTAATGATATAAAAATTATGGAAAAATATAAAAGAGTAAAGTGACGCAGGGTTTTATTTATGCTGATAAATAAAAACGATATACCGTGTTATTTCTTATTTATTTGTGTGAAAAGGAGGACGAAAATTGCACAGCACACGCGATTTTAAACACAAAAAACAAAGCATTGAGGAAGTTAGTTAATCCGTTAATGCGAATTGAAATTATTTTTGAAGGTATGTATGTACATACAGAATTTTAATTGATTTCTTAAAAAATTTCCAACTTCAACTTGAAAATATTTACGTACTTAAGCAACCCACGTTGATTAAGGCTATTAATTTGCATATATAAACACTAAAGCTCTAAACATGAGACATTAAGGTCACACAAGCGTGCAAAATAGACAAGAAAAGTGCATCCTTAGTTTACTGCAGCTAACTACTTATATACAATTTATGCGGTTTATACACATACAATGCATATTTTTGCCTTTGCAAATTTATGAACAAGTCGTCATCGTGCTTAGGGCACTCTTAAAAATGTGAGGCTCAATTTTGATGTTGAGAGTATCAGGACTAAATTGGTAGTAATTTGGTAATAAATCAAGACTCGGAGGTACAACACGCAGTGGTAAATTTCTAACACAATAGTTCGAGATTGGTAAATAACGTAATGGTAAATTGGTAAAAAAGCGTAGTGGTAAATTGGTAACAAAATATTTCTAGACTGGTAAAAAACGCAGTGGTAAATTTCTAACACAATAGTTCGAGATTGGTAAAAAACGTAATGGTAAATTGGTAAAAAAACGCAGTGGTAAATTGGTAACAAAATAATTCTAGATTGGTAAAAATGCTGTGATAAATTGGTAACAATACTGCTAAATTATTACAAACAGTCTAACGTCTCATGCTTTACTAACCATTTATTGGTAAAAAAATATTACCAAACCGGTCTCCACAACTCGGTAACAATCTTCTTCTAAATTTCTAAGAGTGCGGGACCAATTTGCACAAATTTTACACCCAAATTTCTTTGCCTGGGTTGACTTGATATTTAACAAAGAAAGAATGAAGCTGTCAACTTGTTGCGATTAGCGCAACAAACCAAACCCAAATATCTACTTGTACTTTCCTTAGGAAAAATAAAAGTTTCACATTTGCATTCATTCATTCATTCATTTTTCCACGGTGAATTGAAATTGGCTTACGTTATGACGTTTTAAATCCATTATTTAGTCGCGTGTGTGTGGATATGAGAGTCAAGTGGATGGATGATTTGACTCGAGGATATTATTCGAGTATTGAAATAATGAAAGAAATAGAAATGCATAAAGAGATTATTATCATTTATAAGGTTTTGCCCCCTCCTTTTTGAAAAAAGGGTTGCGTAAAAGTGGGCGAAAGTGGGGAAAATGTGCGAAATTGGGAGAAATGCGAATAATTTTTGAATTGTGTTTCTTTTTTTGCTTTCGGTAAAATATCCAGTTGATAAAATAATGCAAGAAAGTAATTCGAAGAAATTCGTAAATTTGCAATTTTTACCATTTAGTTCTAAATATTTCGAAAATTGCAATATTGCTAAAATTGTGTGATCTGTGGCAAGCGTACCATTACATGATCTTTTGTACCATATATTTTTTAGAATTTTTTTTTTTACTAACTGCGTTCCAATTTCGCTAAAAAGTAAATATGGTATGGATAACTTTTTGGGTCTAAAAATCGGATATTCATTAAACCCTCAAACTAATTTATTTTATGCATTTCGCCCATTTCGCACATGCGAATATTTTCTGTCTAAATAAGTACATATGTACACATACTTTTTATTATTTATTAACGGGGTACTGAACATTTTTCTAAATACGAAACGAAACTTTTCCTTTAATCTAATCTAATCTCATCCTACTAATTATTGCATGCATGCCACGCTTGATTTGCTCACCATACCACCGCGACTACCTGTCTTCCTCCTCTCGAAAAAATAATGTAAGATGACAGCCTGAGAGCATATTTACATGGCGAAAATGTTTGCATGCACATTTTTATTTTTTCATCTCAAACAGTTCAAATTCACGACAAACACAAGTGGGAAAATGACTTACTAAGTAAATATCCCCAACTTTTTAATGAGCAAAAGTTCACTAAAATAAAAACTAAGTAAACAAACAAAATGTTGGCAACTGGTGAGGTGACCGGTAAATCGCATGCGAAATTCATCCCAAGTGGAAAAATAAAGTCTACAAAAGTCGTGATGTCGTACTAAATATTTAAAACGGAGGTATACATATATAGAAAGTGAATTTACATAGGAAAAGGTAGCAAAAAGAAGGAAAGCATCAATTTCGAAATTTGCAAATATTTGCATATTTTCTCGCAAAAAATAAACTCAACTCTTATATTGAAAACAATTTAATAATAAATTCTCTCCCAGTATAAAATTCGCACTAATCCTAAGTTTTGCCATTTTTTACTAGTCTACCAACCAGGTGTTCCCCATAAAAACTAATTGAAATCGCCCCGTAAAACTAAAATCGTGCATTTTTTTCCTTCTTTCCCAAAGTAAAAGTAATTTCGCCCAGACAAAAAAGAAAGAAAATAAATCTCTCCGCCACAAAACCACGGAGGATGAAATATCCTATCTATTTTCACGTTATGTTGCATAACGCAAAGGTATTTGGCCTTACATACGAACATGCATTCAGCCACAAATTGGCATTCCCGTCACCTCACTCACTCACGGTGTGCAATTTTTATTTTTTGCACATAATTTTTTATACCCACCCACCAAACCAAATCTGTTAATCTTTCCGCATACATATGTACACATTTCGTCTCAGGAGGTGACATTTATGCCACACCACGAAACGAACCTGAGAGAAAAGTAACTGTTACTGTGTAAAGTAAAGTGAATCTTGCTGCTTATTACAGGGAAATAGAAGATACAATCCGACCCTGGTGGGTTGTTGGGTGGGAGTTTAGCACTGCTATTTCCTATGCAATTTTATTTACTACACGGATAGTAATGACATGACAATAAGCACATTTTCCCAGCCTCACCTACCTGTCCACAGGTACATACTTATGTATGTATGCAGTAGGCTTTTTCCCACTGAAAGGTGAAGCCGTTTGTAAATTGCATCCCATTATTGCATGTCCTTATGTACGAGAAGGAAGGAAAAACAGGTAAATGTACATACATTTACAACAGGTGGATAAAATTTCTACCTGCTGCCCACAACAAGAATGAGTCGTTGTAAATCTGTGTTCTGTCCTCGACCCGAACAAATTATATTTCTTGTGATGGGTCCATGTTTTAGTGAGTGATGAAGATATTTTTCTTCTTGGCTAGAGATTACAAATTAGATAATTGTGCAATAAGTCGAAGTTGAATAAAAAGTGCATCTATTCAACCAACGAGTCGTCAAATGTGCAAGGATGAAATGGAAGGTCTCGCACCTTTACATTTCCATATTTGTCGTGTAACGTAACTACTGATTGAATTATGAACAATTCCGCAATGGCTAAGTAACTGTGTGTGCAACTGATTTAAGTAAGTCTTGACCGGTCAAACCCTTTTCCACCCACGAGACCAGGAGATTTTCGATTGTATCGTCATTTCTATTGTTGTCGACGAAAAACAAGAACACATTGTTGGCTAAGAAGTCTTTTTAAGTTGTAGTTTTCGATATGTGATTAATGTGAATTCTAATCATCGGATTCGTGTCTTGAAGTCTTATGTTCGCAAAATAAGTCGTGTCGTCGTATATTCAAATTTATTAGCGTGACTTTCAAGCCGGTAAATACATTTTGATTTAATCAAGTTTGTAAAATCAAATGCAGGTTTCTCCACACGGTTTTCCAAATTAAGCTTTTAATAGTTTCAAATTTACAAGAAAAACTACCACAATTAATCCCGATAAGCACAAAATGCTTATCTACCCCGCATCAAGTTAGCAAACTTCTTACAACCAATTAAAAAGTGGTCATCTCTCCCTTATTCAAACAGACGCCTCCCTCCCCCCACAAATGGAAGCTGAGTGACTAACTAATAAAGTGAGTACAATTAAACAAGTATGCGTACCTAATTTGCATACGTATATACATTTTTTATCTGCTAATATATTTCGCCAATACTTTTTTGCAAACTGGTCTCGCAATTCTCTCGGCTCTGATAACATGCACACTAACTATTTACTGTCACTCACTCACCCTATCCTTACAGACTTTTAGTTTACAGTTGGACGCTGGTCTGGCATCATCGCATCAATTGTGTGTCGACATAGTCGGCTTTCTATCGCGAATTAGACTTACATTACACACATTCAGCCATAAATAAAGCTACATACGAGATAAAGCCATATCGTGTATGCAACCCTTTTTTAATAACTCTCTTAACTTAACATTATCATCTTCGGTGTTTGCTTTGGCACCATTTTTTTCGCCTCGTCGTCCCACTACACACACAGATTTGTTTTGTCATCGACAGTTAATATTTGCTGCAGCAGTTCCTCAGTCGCAAGTCATCTCCACCTCGAAGTCATGTCAGTTAGTCAGAGATGTATGGACATATTTGTTCAAGCAAGTATTAAAAAGTGTAGTGATTCTTAAATAGAAAGGCTGGGTGGGGTACAGATGTATGTAATTTTCTACAGTAAATAAGTGCATGTATCGGTAGACAGATAAGTTAATTGTTGTGTGATGTGATGTGACGAGGTCTTCAGTAGTGCTGTCTTGATGTCACGAGTGACAAGGGTACCCTTGATTTTTTACGGTGGTGTGACTTGTGTCTTGGTTCAGAAATATAAATATATTTCCAGGAAAAACAAACAATACTTTGTTCCCTAATCCATATATAAAATACCGTTGTGCGATAAGACCTTATCCATCCCTTGCTCCGTCCGAAGTGCAAAATTATCATTACACATTTGCGTCGTCGTTTATTTCTCGCGTGATTTACGACATCCTAAATTTGTCTGGGTGGCAATTAACGGATAAGCGCTTTGTGAACTCATGATATATCAAACGTGACGAAATTTTGAGTTTTACAACCTAAAACACAACTCTTAAATAGATAATCGTTCATTAAAGTCGTATTTGTATCATCGCCGCAAATGCGACATTAGCAAATTAAACGATGGAATAATACCAGCCAGCACACAATTTTTAGTCACCTTTATTACCAACACATACCAAAATTACAGCTTATTTTACATCATTCACCTGCAATTGTACTCATTGTAGGTTGAAAAATTAAGGTGTCATATTTATTTTTTATCTTCATCTCTTCGCCTCTACGTAAATTGAGATTCATTCAAACTTTGACCATATCAGGGCCGAAATTGAAATTAAATTAATAATATTTACCTTCTCTTCTGACTCGGATTACGATAATTATTTCATATCATCAAGGATTATTTAGTTGTTGTGTTGCTCGATCTGATCGTGATTGACGAACATTGTGCAATAAAAGTCTAAATTAATGCTAGTTAGGATTTAGTCCTTGCCTATCAGTGCTGGATAATTGTATTTCTGTGCAAATTATTTTGCAAACTTTTTCGCATAACCTTGACTAAGGTTGAACATTATGTACACGGGCAGATAAATAATACAACAATAAGTGGTGCAAGTGTGGTCGTGAATTTAGTGAATAGATAAGTATTTTACGTAAAATAAATTTTGTGTGGAAAATTTTTATCTGGATTGGATTACAATTGGAGATTTTACTGATTTTATAAAATCGTGCCGCATAAATAAACGTAAGTCTCTGTTGCGTGTAATAATTGTTAAAGTAAATTTTGGTACAGAAAATTTCACTATTTCCCCAAAAATTTAAGCGTTGCAGGATTTCTCTAATTCGAAATTCACATATCCTAATTTAAACTTGAAGAAAACGGAAGTAATTTTTTTCCTGTCTAAATGTGGTGGTCACCGGCAAATTTAATAATAGTACAAAAATTCATCTTCATCTTCCTCACTGACCAAACCACCAAAAAGAACTTCGTTACTATTCTTATTAAATTTAAGTATTGTCTAAAATTTTGAAACTTCCTCATCTTCCTGTTTCTATTTTAATTTAAAAAACCTATGTAGTAAATACAAAACTGTAATGTAATACCGGATTTTTCCACATTTTTCTCCCCGTCAGGGTTGAGTGGCCACGCAAAACGCGACATAATCAAGAGATGAGATGACGGTTTAAAAAAATGCTTTAAAAACCACACGCATCCATCAAATCATCTCATCTCAGGGGGGAGATAAATAAAAATATAGACGATGGTGACATTAAACTTGCAGCAATGCCAGCATATTCATGTTCAGTGAAACGATAAATTAAATTTTGAAAATGATCTCCCGGTCGGGCCGTCCTAGAAAAAAAATTATCGGGAGAAGAAAATTACTACGAAAAACGGCAGTGTTATTACGAAACGAAAACTAAAATTTTCCGCACTGTTATCACCACCATCATTTCATTTTGACAAGGTGTGTATCATAAAAGCGGTAAAATTTCTGATTGCCGACCGACGAAAAGCAAAAGATCATCAGCCTTTTAGTATTTACGGCGTGTTAATTCGTATTACATGAAAGTTTTCTTGATTATTATGTCTTCTCGTTAAGTTAACAATAATATAATACAATCGATTTAAATAGATATTTATTTATTTCCTGACGTGGATTGGATTGGTTATCTATCTGGGTGATAAAACTTATTAGAATTATTTGTAAAAAAAAACTTACGCAATTTTATTATTTTCTTTTTTTTTTCTCACGGTGATTGTACTTACTTTGTTCCGTTTCAGGGAAGAAAAGATTTGTGTAACGATGCTCTCATCGGAACGTTAAATGGTTGTTAAAGTGGAAGTAAAATAGTTAGTGACGATGATGATAAGTAAAATGTTGTTGCGTCGATAATGACGATTTTTTCTGACAGACATACATGCTTTTCATACATAATAGTTCAAAAGGTAGGGAAAAAATGCGTGATTTGCAAAGGAAGGAAGTTACACAGTTGGGAAGAAGAAGAGTCAACATACCGTTGAATTGTGATTAATAAATAAAATAATCTTGGTCTTTTTTTTACCTCCTCTCAACGAGGATGAGAGTTTTGATTTATGGCCGGAAAATCGTTATATGTACACTGATTTAGTGTAAAATTCTGCCATAATATGGCACAAATGGGCACATTTTATGCTCTGAAAAGGTGATAAATCGTCTTCTTTAATAATTTAAGGGATGAATCAATAGTTCAATTCAAATATTTATGAAAGTCGTTTGTTATATAAATTCAATGGGTTCAATTTTTGCGTGGGGTTTTGTAATTGAAAAATAAATTGTAAATGTTATTGATTGATTGGAAATTCTACTTGGAAAAAATTGCTTTTAAGGCGAAATCAATTTTAAAAGTTTTCCTTAAACGTAAAACGATGAGAAGGTCGTAGAAGAGGAGAGATGAACTAATAAATTGCGTGATGCGCAGAAATTAGTTAGCAAACATATTTGTCAGATGTAGAAATTCGAAAAATTTTAACTTTTTGCAAAATTTTAGGAATTTTTGGGACATTTCCGATGTACATTTTCGCTAAACCAGTGGTCTGCTTCGTATCTGAATATGTTTCGTGTAATACACTTTTTCTCCTTTACTCATTTTCGGCTTTAAAATTACCCAATATTTAAAAATCTCCGTATAAATAAATAAATCTTTGCATCGTCGATCGCAACTCTAAATAAAATTTAGATTCATCCCACGACTAAAACTCTTGTCCTCATTATTTCCTCCTCTTCAAAAAGATAAAACTTTTCCATTGTTCAAATCTCTTGTAAAAAAGAAAGAATCAACAATTCCCTCAAGCCCACAACAAACAAGTTCAATGTGCATCATCGAACTCGTTGTCATCTTCTCCTTTTCTTTCTTTTATTCAATTGAATTCATTCATTCTACGCCGCAAATTACAAAATTCAATCCAATCCACATTTGAAATTCGAATCTGGTAGGAATGAGATGGCTGGCTGGCATTCAAAACGGGTCGCACTTCAAATTTGAATTTAAGATTTTTTTCCCTATGGCAAAAAGCTTAGGCAAGTGCGAGAGAGAGACAATAATATAATACGAGTAAAGGCAAGGCACACTTGTTGAAATGGAGACAAAAATTTGCATCTGAATTTGGCCTGGTACATACGAAATACGTAGTAAAAAATTTACATTTTTTGTATTTAGAATCACACAGTATGTAGAATACGATACAAAGTTTTGTAAAACGAGACGGAAGAAATGTTGATGAATTTTGGTTAAAAAATTTCGAATTTCGGTATAAATATGTTGCACTAAAATTGTAAAAATGCAATCTTAGTGTACAAGAGTAGACATTTTTTTAAATTTTAGAAGACTAAGGTAAATAAATTTTATGAAAAATTGGAAGATTTTAGCGTCGAAGATGCAGAAAATGAATACAAATATTAACAAAACAGAAAAAAAAAGATTCTTCAAATTTTAAGAATGTGTGAATTTTACCTAAACCTAGGTTATTTATATATTTCCCACAAATTAACTTATTTTTCAAAGTAAAAGCCCAATGCAAAATTCAAACCAATAACAAAATATTTAACACTTTGACTTTATTTCCATAAATATTGGAAGCACATATTTTTCCATGAAATACATTATTCTGCATATTTTTTAAAAAAGTCCGTAGGTTAAACTATCCACATTTTGGAAATATTTCCAGATTTAAGAACATTAATTATAATCCCAAATTAATTAAATTAGTTTAAACAAAATCTATAATACAATTATAAGCAACGGACAGCGGATCTATTTCATCAAATCTAAAAAATATATAATTGGTTTTCTCTAATGGCGTCAAACTTTGCATATTGTATTTTCATTACATTAATATTGTGTATGAGTGTCCGCAGATTATAACGACCAAGAGAAAATTAAATAACTCAAATAAATAAAAATATTTACAAAATTTAGTAAAAAAAAATCCGGCTCCTTCAAGTTTGAGAATTTGCGAATTTTATATAACCTAAACCAAAGTTATTTTATCTATTTCCCAAAAATCAATTTATGTATTTTTCATGTAACCCAACGCAAAATTCGAACCAGTAATAAAAATATTTAATACTTTAACTTAACTTTTATAAATATTGGAAGAAAATATTTTTCCATGAGATACATTATTCTACATATTTTTAAAAATGTCGTGGAAATCGAAATGACTGGTAAGAATTTCAAATTTAAAAACACTAATTCTAATCACTAACTAATTAATTAGAGCAGTTTCACCAGGACGCAAATAAAATAAGTGACGTACCGTACGAGTGATCTATTTCATAAAATCGCCTAAAATAAATAATTTTTTTCTCTAATGGCGTCAAACTTTGCAATTTTTGGATTACAGTATTACGTGTGGATGTCCGTAGATTAATGTACAAGCAAGGGGAAATTATCTTACAACTTTTGTTTCATTTTCCACCCTTTTTTAATTCTGTGCATATCTTCACCATTTTTAAGGTGAAAAATGTACATAAAAATGATGTATCATTTTCCAAAATAGATAATAATACGTGATGACAATAATAATTAATCTTATTTACTTCAACATCTTAAAAGTTATCTATTTTCTAGCCTTGTTTACACAAAATCTTTTAAAAAAGACCAAATCACCACTTAATTGAATCAAATTGCTTCATCAAAGTAAAGAAATCGTGGCTTGTTTCAATTTACTGAATCATTATCGTAATCTCTAATGTTACCCCTTTTTCCACTAATTATCTCTATTTCTTCAACAAATTATCGATATTATACGGCAAAAAAATATGCCAAGTAAAAAATCTTCGAAAATATTTTTAGCAAAAATATTTTTCCTTGAGTGAGTGTCACAAATTGTGAACAAACACAATTCAGAAAAAAAATCTACGTCGCCTGGAGGTATTTTCGAAACCGGAACAAATTTTCAGACAAAGTTTGCAATTGTTGCATCCTCAACCTCAAGATGTAAATGACCAGTAAAAGACCGACCATTGTTGAGTGGTTGATTGTTGGGCAATCTCTTCAAGAGGTCCATAAACTGGTTGTTCTTCATTATTTTTACAATCATGCCGTGGTCTGGTCTGGTTCATTGAGCTTCTCGACCAGCCAAATCGTTGTCAAACGTGATGTATACTAGATTAGAATTAACGAGATGAGATTATTCATAGGCAGAAAATTTACTTTCGTACCGAGTAACAAAACCTAAATAATAAAGTAACAGTATTTTTATAGTACAGCGATTGTTCGTTGTCACATATTTATCAAAGGATGGTCTCATTGTCAGAGAATACACTTTTGGACGTCTCAATTTGATGCCGTCAAGTCAAAGTCGTTTGCATCTGGTGTATGTAGATATTCCTTAAATAGACTTTGACACAATGTGTATCCATCAGTGAACAATCACTGACTCGAATTGACGGAATCGATCTGGATTAGATTGATTATTTCCTCATTTAATTGTAATCAAGTTCACCATTTAAATCGTAATTACAGATGCAATAACTGAACCCCCCGCTATTTACATTTCGGTTTAATTGAAGATAGAAAATTGCTTCCGTATCCATCAAATCAACTTCGAAGATGAGATTCGTTTTCAAATTCTCATCTTAACTTGCCTGAGGATTGTTTTGTTAATAAATGTAAAAATTGTGACCGAGAAACGAAAAATAAAATACAATAAAAAAATCGCGTCGTCACTTTCCTTCAACATGTTGACGATTTTTAGTGCTTCACATACGACGCTTTTTGACCAAGAGATGGTCCTAATTGCATGAAACTTGGGTTTATTTTACGAGATGATGTGCAATATAAATATTTACAAGTGAAAAAAGATGATATCATGTTTCCTTGTGGTTTTAATACGACTTGATAAATTGTATTTGGTTGAAATTCAGTAGCAAATATTTCGTTCTTCTGCTCTATGTACACTACTTGAAATTGGGTTAATTACGAGAATTTCTGCCAGTGTGGCAGATAAATTGGGCTATTTTTGCAGTTGCGAAAGAGAGAGAGAGAGAGAGAAGAACCTTGAATGTGCACATTTTGGATGCGTGTGTATATTTTATTTTGCAGTCATATTTTCATTTTCATACTGGTTTTGCTGCTTTGTTTGTTATAGAAATTGCATCCCACACATGGATGGATGGAGTTAATTAAATGTATTATTGACACGAATTAAATGATGGGATGAATTTATACAATTATTTTATGGGTCACTTTTTCCCAGATTTATTCACACGGTTTATGGAAAAATAAATAATTCATTTCTAAGTTGTGCATGGGGAAGAATGGCGACGATTAGGAATTTTTTGTAATTTTGGATTAAGATTGTAAGTTAAAGATTAACTGTACACGAAGATTTGTTTGAATGTAAACGCCGATATGTTAAGATAAGCACGCGGAAAAAATGACCCACTTATCCGGATTGTGATAGAAATGTGGGGCTTATCTTATCGATAAGATGAAGGAAAATCTTGTACCCGTTGTTTTTTCTAATACTTACCAATAACGATACACAGTTATTCAAAGGATTCCTTAAAATGTTGAGAATTGATTAGTCATGCAAATTATTTGGTATGGATGGTTCATGCATCTATGTATAAATTGGCTGTTACAGTGTCGTCGATTTATCGTAATTCGTAATAAACTTGAATTTCTGGAAATATATTTTTAAACATTTTTCTGTAAAAATGAGAAATTAAAATAAAAAATATTTCTGTTTGCATAAAACCATAAAACCATAAAACCATAAAGAAATTAGCCGAAAAATTTCCAATATCGCTCAACTTTTGTCAAAAAACTTCAAAAATTCAAATTTCAAAATTTTACTTAATTTCGAAAATTCAAATTTCAGGACACCCTCTCCAACCTCAGTTTGGACGAGTTGGACAATCCCGACGACGAAGTCCTCGTCCCACCGCCAATTCCTGCCCCACGAAAAGACCGGAATAACCACCACCCCCCACAAGACGACCACCTCTCCCCGCACCCAGAGGACGACGGTCTCAGCCCCACCTCAAACACCGCAAGTTTTGCAAGTGCCTTAAATGGCAGTGTCCGAGTTTGCGTGACGGATGCAGATTTAGCCATGGCAGACTCGCTCAGTCTCGACCTCCCCGTGGGGGCCCAGTACCTTCCCACCAGTGGTGAGTCCTACTTAATTAAATAACAAGTAGCAGTGACCGCGGAAGCCGTAGGGACATGTGGGGACTTAACATTGTAGGATAGGGGAGGGAGGGGTTTATATAACATGGGGAGATAATGTTTAACCGTGGGGACATTGTCCCTCTGTCCCCTCAAGCTTCCGCGGCCACTGAAAATTACTTAATTATATGCAGCAACCTTAAAACAATTAGTCAATGTCAGCTGTGTCATCCTTCCCGGTGTCAAGATGCTAATATACTTAACACCTTACTAAATAATTACTCGACCTTAAACACCAATTAAATATGTAAATGTCCTCTTCTTTGACATCTTCCCGGTGTCAACGACTAATTATATTCATCAATGTCACACCTTTTCCGTGACCTTTACGCCCTAACTATTAACAACTCCTTAAATCTCGTCTCATCATCTTCCTTCCCCACGTGCAAAACTTTTATTTATCCCAATTCTCTGGCACATTAAGTAATTAAGGAAATCGCAATAATAAAAAAAACACTCCACCCCAGGAAGAATCCCACCGCAATACGTACTTATGCATGTATGTATTAGGGAGTATACCAAAACTGTGCCAAATTAGACCACGTCCATCACTCCATTCCATTATTACAACAATGTGCCATTTCATGTGCACATACCCACGGGGAGGAAGGAAGAAAAAAAATCATGCAGGATGGGCGAACAGAGAGGTTAAGTTAGACCAAGGCAAACAAATCGAGTTTCAGGTTTAGGCTTGGTTTTGCCTTATTGTAAAACAACAACAATGAAATTGGTATCGCCATAATATAGCTCCAAATCGGTGGCCGCGGAAGCGTATGAACAATGTCCCCCCGGTTATTCGATGTCCCCATCATCTCCCCATGTTATATGAACCCCTCCTTCCCCCCATCCTACAATTTTAATGTCCCCACAGTTTCCGCGGCCACTGCTTCGTCTGTCCCCTTAAAACTATTTTCCTTCTTGGCTGGCTCCACATTTTTATGGGGAGGAAGGAAGGAATAGTAGGCATTGTTGTACGTACTTCTCATTAAGTTCACCTGCCTGCCTGCCTCCCACCCCACAGACCCTGACGAATCCCTTATACACACACACATTTCATTTCCTTTAACCAATCGCAAAGCTAGAAACGCCATAGAATTCAGCACCAACTCTTGCAAAAAATAGCAGTTGAATGAGTCACATTCATTTTGCACAATTGTTCCTTCGTTTCGTGAATCATCCTAGCATACCATAGCTTTAATCTTATACAAAAGTAAAGTGTTTTGGTGGTGGTGGATGGAGGTGATAGTGATCATGTAAAAGATAGTACATAGTAAAAATACCTTGTCGAAAACCAACCACCTTTACTTTAGTTAGTTAGTTAATGCTCACTCAAATAATGGCGAGTTTGAAATGAATCAACCCAAATAAATAATAATATTCCACAGTTTCGAATGTAAATGTGATGCATTTCAGTCAGTCGCTCCTCCTGAGTTTCGAAAATATTATTCTGTGCGAAAAACTTGAGTGGTTTTAAGTGAATTTAATTTGCAGTGCAAATTTATTTTGCACACCAATAGTTTTGCATTTACTTATTCCTTTAACACACGATCAATTCATTCAAATTATGTAGTAAGTGAACTACTGAACCTGTTCGACGGCTACTTGTTGTTTGGTCCACACAACAAAATACCGTACACAACAAAGCAATAATTTTACTCAAGAAAAACTGGGGGTTCAATTAATCGCGATTTTTAGTGAGGTTTTTGTACTTCATTATTATTATCGTTTAGTTGAAAAGAGGTGAACTGAACTTGTCCCTTCAAAAATTTTCAACAAACCAAAAACCACACTGGTTTAGTTTATGTAGTTTAGTTAGTGAATAATATTTAGAAAGCTGACTTAAACCTAACAATTTAAGGATTAAATTTCTAAATAAAATTGTGATTGTGTTGTGATTGATTTGAAATTTTCCAAATGAATTCCAGTCGATTTTCCGAAGAGTCCTAGTCAACTCAAGATACTGAAGGGACCCTCCTTCATGCCAAAGGAAGAACCTGGTAAGGAAAAGTTTTTTTGAAATTGTTACATATTTTTTTGAAAATACAAATAATTTTCTATCAAAGTGACGAAAATATCAGAAAAAACACGAATTTATTAGGTCATTCTTATCTCTCTCCTATTTAAAAAAATACGTGCACGGTGCACCGTGACTTATTCGAAAATTAACTTTGCAGCCAGCTGCAATCCAATCCAACTCAAAATACCACATGCCATAAAATAAAATAAAACTTGACTTGGCTTGATACGCGTTGGGAAAAATGTGAAATTTTTATTATTATCAAAGTGCGACCATATCGTTACGTGAATTATTATTACTTTGTAATCTGCACCTCCTCTGTGCGTATAATTTTAGCTTAAAAAACGATGGCACTATTGATATGTATGAAAAGTTTCACAAGTTTGTGATGTGAGCACGGTTTAAATACGTGTTAAAATTGAAGGTGACATTTATTTCGTTTTCTATCATCATCGTTTTTTTCTAATTTTTAATGAGCAAATCTGTAAAGAGGCATAAATGTTATAAAATTAAATTAATTCTACGATGTCTTTGTGACCATATGGTTGACTGAAGGTTGACGAAAGCACAACCAAACCAGTATGCCTTTTATTTCGTGATAATCTCGTAATAATTAGTGTAATGCACAGCACAGAATGGATATCGCACGGTTGAATGGATGACATAAATGAGGAGCAGTTTTATTTAAATATTTGCATACGCATAGCTTACTGAGCATAAAATAACTATTCATTGAGCTAAGCGTATATAAATTAATGTTCATCTGGTCAATGATAATCGATATATAAGTTGTTATCGGTAGCACATAATTCACACTATATGCATTATCAGCATGAAACGAATTCAGATGTATAAAGTAGTAACCATCATCAAAAACGCAGTTTAATGTCCGTCCACTTCACTTTTTTTAAGTCAATGATAGATAATAATAGCTGATTTAAGGACTTTATTGAAGATTCTTCAATTATATTTTTTCAATTAAAAATCAGATTTTGGCTTCATCACCTGTAGTTAAATAAATTCTACAAAAATAAAAAATAAACGCATTTGACGCTAAATTCTCACCAAAAACGGAACACGAGGTAAAGTCAGTAACACTGACCGACGACGTGGAAAATTAGTGTCAAACTGTCAAACACAATGTAATTGAAAAAAAACTTTTGAAGTCCTGTGGTTGTATAATCTAATTTGCATAATCAGCCAAACCGAATCTGAAATTCTTTCATAACACAATTGTGTCACCTTTGTTGATTAATAATCGTTCACGACAGTTTTAGTTTTCCTATATCTCAAAAGTATTTAGAGTGGCAATTTACCCGTGAAAATTGGATAGTTTTTTTTTCAAAAAAATCAGTGTCCTTGTTCCTTACTAAAAAGCTACAATTTCGTGTTTGTGTACCACCACGGGTGAGTACACAACAACACATTTTTTATTACTTGCGTAATACCTACTGAAAAATCCGGTATATGAAATGAATTCCTTGCCCAACGTGAAATTTGCGCATCACTTCAACTTCATCATGTGCAGGTCGAAAGTCATAACAATTTGCAATTTGCAATTCCTCCAACGGTGACACCGTCACTTAAAACGTAACGTAACGGTTAACCGTGGTCAAAATTACGCCATTTGTGACGCACACGATGGTGCATATACCGTTTTTACTTTACAAGTTTTTAGCCATACAAATCGTTACAGAAATAAATGTCCCTTCAATTGATAACCTACATAAATACAAATATTTTCATTTATCCATTAAAATTAGACCTTACTCTAATTTTAGTTAATTTTACTTTCTCATTTCCTCTTTACAAAATTAACGTGACACGATTTTTACTTCTTCTTCACACACTTCATTTTTCTTCTAAAAGGAGATGATTATCGACCGCTTTTCAAAAATTCATTGAAAATTGTCACAAGTCATTCACTCAATAATTATTTCTGTATGAATAGAAGTTAAATATGCGTAGAGAAGAAATTCATAATAATTCGACTGAAATGAAATACAATCCTTTGCAATTTAACGACAATTTTGGCACAATGTGTGAATCCAATTCGCCACTTAAACCACCCAACCACCACCAATTATGGTCTGGTCGTGAAGAAGATGATTTCACTTTAAATTCTTAAAGGTGAAGAATCTTAAATATGTACCTGAATTTTTGAAACGTGCCCCTTTTAATTACAAATATTGTCACCCCTGTTTTAGTCATGAAGATGTTTTTGTATTATGCCCACAAGACGATAAGGATCATTATCTTGGGCGGTGTAGGAATTAAATGATCACAAAATTATGTAAATTCCCACCCCCATTACGTACATAAATATTTAAATTCTTGCAATGTGTTCAGGCGTGGTGAGTGAGGATGAGTCAAGCGTGTCAAGTTATCAGGCTCACGTCGACGATGTAAATGGACAAGTCCGTCTTGTCAAGAAAGGTATTTAGCAGTTAGTGAATTGCAAAAAAATAGGCACGCATTTTTGCACGGTTTGATTATTAGGTCTTTACTTATTACCAAATTTTTTGCATGCGTTTTAATTTTGCTTCTGTTTTTTTCTTTATTTTCCTCTCACGACAGACTCCCTGAAACCGAATTTCGTCATTCCAGCAATAAATCTAGACCAAGTCGGGCTTTCTCCACCGGACGACCAGTCCGGATCCTCCTCCTACCTCAGCGTTTCCCATGAAAATGACCCCAACGCGCTCGACGACTACATCGAGGACTTCATCCTCCCCATGAGCCATGAGTCCGTGATGTCCCGACAGCTCTCCTTCCGACGCCAAGTTAGACGAACTTACGATAAAATCGCGGCCGATAAAGCGACCCAAGAACTCGACAAGTTTGAAGCCATGTTATCCACGTACGACGAAGAGGACGAGATCAACAGGTCCCTCACCCCAGAAAATAATAATAATTACAACAAAACCTCAACTCCCATCCCGAAGGCGAGAAATACGATGAAAAAGTCGGAAATCGTGACCCCCCTCAAGCCAAACTTTGACCTCCTCGAACCCCAAAGTCTACTCGATATTGATGCCATAGTTTGTGAAAACGCGCCCGATTTAATGTCCATTCTTCCCCGGAGAAAAGGTTCCCATAACGATGCTACAGGACCTCCAACGCTTTCCGTGTCGAATTCCACCTCCGATTTGGAATCCTTATCCAACTACTTTCTCCCCCAGGAGACGATCGATAAGCTCTACGCGGTCTATGAGTCGTCCAACTTCAATAATATTTACTGTCTCAGCGGCGAAATTAAGAATATCCTCAGCCCCATCGAAATTGAAGAGATTCTCGACAACAAGGACAGACTGGAGAGATTTATCGACCCCAACGTCATGGCGGCGTTGAGTTGGTCTCTCAACCCGGCGAGCTTACCTTCCCCGATTAATAATCGCAGTAATAATAATGATGTCGGTAATAATAAAATCCCGCCGAAATCGGATGACGGTGGGGGACTTAAATCCAAAAGTTCCTCCATGTCGAACGGCTTCCATTCGGACGCTTCGTCCTCGTGTGATGACGATACGCACAGCACGTCCAGTAATTCAACGCCGAAAACGGAACCCGCAGATTTTGATGATGAAGGCAAAGGCGGCAGTGAGAGTGGGATCGAGTCACCCAGCCCGACTTCGGACCTTCTCCAAAGAGCGACCCCACTCACGGCCTCGATGCGAAGGAGGATCGCTCTCTCGAAAGGGATCCGTACCCCGAGTCTGGACGACGCCAGGACCACCACCCACGAAGATGACGACGACGACATGGACGAAGTCGACCTCGGCGTGGGCGATGAAGATTGGGAGGATGACGATAATTCCAATTCAAGAACCACGTCGAACAATTCGAATGGCACGTGTCTCGTGCGAAGCGACTCGAAACGGTTCTCTTTTAAGGGGAAGGACGGCCAGGTTATCGCGGTCGATCGCGTCGTGGAGGGTGTGTTTGTCGAGAGTATGAATTCCAATCCGAAAGGGACCCTGCGTAGGGTGAAAGTCCCACTAAATTTGAGTTCTGAGGACCCCGACGAGTTAGAAATGAGCAGTCCTGAACCCACTAGTTTGATAAGGGTGGATAATAATCAGACTAATAATCCAGCTTCTTCTTCCTCCTCCTCCTCCCAAGGTATTTTTTGTTGCGTGGTGTTTTTTGTTTTGTTTAATTTGTCACTAATTGTGTGAATTTGCATGTTAATTATTTACTGTTGGTAATTAGGTAATTATTGCTTGTATTTATGTATAATTTTCTCTTTCTTCATAGTCAAACCTCCCAAACAGCCGGCCCACAACAGGAGGAAGATTTCCGTCGATGAAAATATTCTTAGTATGATTTCCTCCACCGAGTTTGACGACGGGCTTGGCGTTGGCGTTGGCGGCGGCAGTGGTGGCGGTGCCGGTGGCGACGACGCCTCGCAGGCTACGACAGCATCCGATATTTTCTACTCGATTAGAAATTCTACCTTGAACAATGACGACGAAAACACGATGCGGACTGAGAACGGGGTGGACGATGATGAAATCACGCTCGATCTGGATACTCCGGACGATATGGAAGATTCCATTATGGGCCGTGAGTAGAAATTTGCGAAAAAAAAATTTGCGAATAATAAGTTATGTATGTACTAATTCGCAATTTATTTTCAGAACTCGAGTCAATCGCGACTAGTCATAAACCCGACGGGATCCCAAACCTGCCTCGCGATGAAGACGAGATTGATGCTTCGATGCGTTGGAAACCTTATCGCGTTGGCCCCGCTGACGTCCAAATTGACCTCCAAGCTATCCAGCCATACCGGAAATGCTTGTCGCATGGAGGTTATTTCGATGCGGAGAAAAATGTCGCCATAATTCTGTTTTCCGGATGTAACTTACCCGACCGCAGTCAGAAGGACTACACTTACTTGATGGATCACCTATTCCTGTGGGTGGTTAATTAATTAAATAATTAATTATCAATTTTATGGCTTAATTCCCAAAATAATTAGTATTTTTTCCCACAGATATGTCCTCTCCACACTTGAAGAACTGATCGTAGAAGACTACATTTTAGTATATTTGCACGGCGCCACACCCAAGAGCGCCAGCCCGACGTGGGCCTGGCTCAAAAAGTGTTACCAACTTATCAACCATCGCCTCAGGAAGAATTTGAAGGGGATTTACCTCGTCCATCCGACCTTCTGGTTGAGGACGGTGGTCGCTTTAACGAGACCCTTCGTAAGGTAAATTTAGTCAGGCTGCCCTTAATTAAAATGGGGGACATAAATTTCATGAAATAGTAAAGTGTAGTAGAAAAATTTGAGTTTTTTTGGTATGAATTATTATTTTCGACGTTAATGTTACCTGTTTAGTGTTTATGAAACATGTTTCGATGCAGTTTTTACAAAATTTTTATTTCTGACGTTAAAATTATATATTTGTAAGATTAGATTTTCAGGTGCGATAACACACACATTTTATTGGACTTGGAATCTTTATTGTTGCTAGACCTGGAATCTTTATCCAATTTTTCATTTTAAACTTTTTTCCCAAAAATTAATTATGTCGTCAAACTGTACCACAGATTTTTCTCAAAATTCCCATTTTTGGGAGATATTCGTCTATTAATTTCGAACCTTTGAAGATAAGCAATTAGCAACGCAATAGTGAAAATGAAAATCCTTGAATGAATGAAGCCCATTCATGTATCAAAGAAGGCATCTCTTTCTTCCGTTTCATCCAAAAATTTGTAAATTTACTTATATTTAATTTTAATTGTTTCAAAATTTCAGCACAAAGTTCAGTCGCAAGATCCGCTTCGTCTACACCTTATCCGACCTCTGTCTCGAAATTCCGACTGAACATCTCGTCATTCCAGACTCTGTCCTCCAGTAAGCTCCTCAGATAATTTTTCTCTCCATCAATTTCCACATAATTAATTATATAACCCTTTAAAAAACTTGTTAAATGTTCTTCTTGTTCTTAATACACCGTGTTGAATTTTACTTCCTTATTATTACGCAAGCTATGACGCGGTGAGACAGGAAATTCAAAACGCTAGAAATGCTGCTAAAAATAAGCAACATGTCTAAAAAAATTCAGCGTAAGACAAGCACGACGCAAAAATCGGGCCATATTAATAAATTTATCTCACTGCTACTTATTTTTCAAAAATCTTGTTAAAATTTTACCTAGAATTTAGACCTTATTTTTATATTTTTCTCATATTATTTGCAATTTTGCTATTTTGAAGAAAAATCGTCCCGAAAGTAACTGATTAATTTTCTAATATTTTCGTAGGTATGACTTCGACCTGAAAGTGGACGACTTGAAGAAACGGAAATTACTGAGTTGATCCAACTTATGGAAATTTACAGCAAATCCGCTAAAACCTGAATGAGCTACCTTAACTTAACTTAATTTAATTAAGAATTGCATATGTACTAATCGTATACTTGAAACACTTACACTTTACGTAACGACATTGTTTATACTTAATTAATTAGCAGCGAAACTAACAAAAACAAAAAGTATTAGCAGCGCAAGAAATCAATCAATAATTTTATCACGAGGATAAAAAGTGTATTAAGTATTGTATTGTAAAATAGCTTAATAATAACCTTATCGTTCGTTTTTATCTAAAAAAACGCCTATGAGAGAACATTTTAACGCATTTTTCAGCGAGGCATTCTCTCGGATCTTTGTAAATTTAGTGCCAGTTTGCGTGCAAAGATTACGAAGGAAAAGCAAGCCACAAGTTTGCAAAATAATTTCGCAAAATTTTCCACTGTTTACAAACATCCGAGTGAATCGCTTCAATAATCTAAGATATCGAAAAATAGCAAAAATACGTAGCTCTTGTATACTCTTCTACTTAAAAAAACTGTTAATTGTGGGAAAAGCGGGTTAACTTTGGGACTTCGTTAATCGTAACAATTTGCTAATATTTATTAAAGATGAAGATGAAACTTAATGTACAACTCACCACTAACAAAGCAACAGCAAACGAGCGAGAAAATTTTTACGGGACAGCTATACATGTTTAAGTTTTGTGGGAATTTTCATTCTAAATTTTATGGATGAATTTTTCAGTATAATTGCTAAAAAATATGCTTTATAATGAATGATATACATACAATTTTGCCATACTTGACAACTTTCTTGTTCGAGCTGAGTTTGTGTTTAAATAAACTAAAATAATTTTTAAAAAATGAATGTAATCGTAATATTTGTTTAAAATATTGGAAACGAAGAAATAAAAAAAACTGGATGAAAATTTAAGTTATGAAATGTTGTATAATTATTTTTGAAAAATTGCATTATCGTCAAGGCACACGACATCTGAAATTGTTAAATAATTCTTAACTCATGCCAAAATTAATTTTTCGGTGTGAAACCCAAACATAATTTTTAATACCCGTCAATATTTAACTTTTATTGAAAACATTACTCAAAAAATTAAATGTTATTGACTAATAATACATAACAAAATTTCATACTTAATTAACCCTTAATTATTGCGATAACGAGCGATATAACTATAAATTAAAATATATTAAGGAAAATTAAGCGATTTCTCCAAACTTTTATTTCTCTCAAGCTTAAAACAAAACCGATTTCGATTACTTAACCAAATTTCTGTCATTTTTTTATAAATCAAAAATTTATTTTAAAATTGATTTTCGTAACGAAAAAAAATCACACTTTTAGTTTTTAGACAGCCTTGCTATACACGACGTTTGGATGAATTCCGAGTGAAATCGGGTTGAAAACTTCTTCCCTCTCGGTCACTCTTTCGGGCGTCTTGTGGATCCCATTTTTCGCCAAAAAGTCCTTCAACACGGTCGTGTACTGGTCCGGATAGGCCCTCATGTGTCCGACATGAGCGGTATTTTCCCAAATCTGATTGACACACTTGATCCCTTTGACGGCCCATTCCTTCTGAACTTCTTGAATCACATCCATCGTGCTTATCTGGTCGGCTTGGGAGCAAAAGAAGAGCGCAGGCGCGTTCAAGGGTCGATTGTAGTAGTAGTGATGCGCGTCAAAGTAGTATTTCGTGGCCACGTTGTAAAAAGCTTTCATGTGGAAATCGATATAACTCTCGAGCCCTTTTTGCATCGCGGATTCGCCAAATACGGATTTGCTGACGCCAATCGCGACGCCATTCACGTCCACGACGGAGTCCCAGATTTGCGCTTTCATGGAAGCCATGAGGTGGTCGCCGTGGGGGTGGTCTTGCATGTATTTGAGCATTCGGGCGAATACATAGCCCCCGACGGAGAAGCCGTGGATGAGTTTTTTGTCGTGGTCAGAGGTGAGAAGGGCGGGCAGGATTTCGTTGGTGACGATGGGTTCGATTCTAGATGGGAGGAGGAGTTGGGTAGGTGTGACGCGGACGGTGAGGACGTCAAAGCCTGAAAGGATAACAAAAATGAGAGATGGTTTAATGGGATGAAAATTAAGGCAGGAGGTTTGGAAATATTGGGTGAAATTTTCGAAATTAGTTTGCATATCAGGACGCCAGTAAAAGAAATATTATTAGGAATAATAATTAAATTATAGATAAAGATAATCCATTCTCTTAATACGGTTCTCCTAATTTGCACAGAACGTTGATCGCATGTGGAAAATATGCTACATCTCAATTGTTGTATCAAAATTGTAACATTCTCACTTAAACCAATCGAGAATCTTAATAAATTTGATTTTAAGTTTTAGCTTTTGACAAATATTCTTTTCGGCTTCTCAAAATTGAATTTCATAAAATAAAAATCCTAACCTATTTGTTACATAATTTTTTTTTCATCCCATCAAAAATTCATGGCATTATGCATTTGTGTATCTAGTTAAAAATATATTTCTTTTTAAAGTCCTTACCATGATCCAGATAGAACTTGGCGTATTTTTTGACCGCATTGTTCTTCGCCATGAGCCAACAAATCAGGATGGAGAGGGGGCGACCCTCACTCGAATATTGGGTCAGGTCGGGTCGGTTGCGGAGGTGTTTTGTGGCGCCATGTTGCGAGATCAAGGTCACGGTGGGGCTCAGCGCGTGGGTATTTAATCCTCTGACTAATGAGGGCTGATGAAACAAGTTTGAGAAAAGTTGTGTCCTTGCGAAGCTCGTTTTCGCAGCTGGAACCGCGACCAGGGTCAAGATTTTGCGAGACATTTTCGGTTCTGCAAAATAAATAATTTGCGAATTTAAATTTTGTTACGATTTTTATGATCGTCATTAAAAAATATGGCGCATTTTTTTGTTTCCTCTTTATTTTTATTTACTCGCTAAATAGTTTATTTAACGGCCAGGCAACATAAAAAAGAGTGAATTTCTTGAATTAATTAATGGCTAGGGTTATCTTATTTTTACGATAAGTGTGAGATGCGCATTTTCGTACTTGTTTTTTATGTACATGAGACCAATTTATTTATGTAACAAACTGGCAAATTCTGAATGAAGGAAGCTAAATAACACGCATTAATTACATGATTAATGAAATAGATAAGATTTCCTCATCGTTTATTATCTACTGCGACGATCTGCTAACTATTTATTGACCTATGACCTTATTAACATCCAGATTTAGGATTCCATTACAAACGAAAAAAATAAGCATTATTGAGTTTTAATATTTAGCAATATTTAGCACAAAATTTGCGACACTTTGGCAAGCTTATCAATAAACCAAACACCATCCTGTCCTCGCATGCATCATATCATCGTTATTACGCTACGAATTCAATTCATGAATTTATTACATAACTCACTCCGCTGTTTAGTTATTGCTTAAGAATCTGTGCAAAAAATGAGAGGGTAAATCTCTCATTGGATAGCAACAAAGGCGTGGATGTGGTGGTGTGATGATTTTTGCATGAGGCAAATGTGTGCAAAATGAAAATATTGAGTGCAAAAAAACTTGTTCTTCTTTCATTACTCCTGGCTAAGAATTATATTCATGTACATATGCTAAATATTTTGCAAATATTTTTTTGCAAACCTATGCGTTATTTGTGGAGATTTAAAAAAATATGGATGATATCCACTTAATTATTTTTATCAGTAACAACGTCACGTTTCTCTATTCTTCTGGTCAAGTGTTTTTGACACACCCTCGAAAACTGCATGGTTTTATTTCATGCCTGCATTTATTTTACGTAACTGATGAGCTTTGGATTTACAGAATTTTCAAGTGTTATATTTTTTCTGTGAGGTAATGCTCATGCAATTAATTTAATAGGTAAATCCCATCCATTCCTACTCTCTGGATAAGTTAAGTTTAGTAAAGTTCTGACTCACATAATGCCAATTAACGATAAATTGAATTCAAGAGGCTCGTGCAATGCAATTGTACGATTAAAATTGATTAATTTACTCGAGTTTCCAGTCTGTTTATGCAAACTCGTATTTCGTAACGATCTTCTCAAATATGACTAAAAATTGTGCATGATTATTCTTTCCAAAGACATCAAAATTTATTGATTCGAATCAATACATATTGCTATTTATATTTGCATCAATATTGACAGTTCACTGGGTGCGTATCGCGTACAACTAATACCTGACGACAACTTCGCAGTTAAAAAACGCATTACATTACATACATTGTTAAAAAGCAGAGCTCAAAATGGGACACATTTATTAAGGCTTCGTAAATATAAAATGAAACGAACTTCAATACAGTGAATGGTAACTGCCAGACCACAAATGTAGCAGAAGTGGCCTGACCCAAGCGTGGCTTCTCATTGGCCAAGCCAAGCTTCCTCTGGGTCGATATTCTCGTAGGATTGGGACTCTTAAGAAACGATTTCTTTCCACCAATTTCATGCAAACGCACATTTTTAGGGCAACATTTCCGTTTTCAACATTAATGTTGAAAAATGTGTACATTTCCGTTAAATTTTGGACGTTAAAATCTCAAAATAATGAAATTTCACTTTCTCCCAAAGTTTAGATTTCCTAAAAAATGTTTTCACCTGAATCCTCTCTCAATTTCCTTTTCATATTTTTACGAAAAATTCTCACCTAATTTCCACCTTTCTTAAAAAACTACACCTCTTTTTCCCCACAAAATCCCCCCTTAAGAATAATTCTGTGTTACTCACCTTTAAGATTTCAGAACGTTTGCCTGCACTCACTTTCTGTCAAAACTGACCCACTTTTAACCACCTCTTAACTTCTACGTACCACACACTGGAATGATGTTGACCGTAGAGCGTCCAATTTGCGAAAACGGAGCGTTTCCTCGTTTCCTGGGACTAAATAGATAGATACAAGTTGCAAATCGTAGTATGCACTATGCACTACATAACATACCCACGCTGTCACTTTACACAAGAAGGGGTAGCATTGTCAGTTCAGTGATCAGCAACCCACCGGGTGATCCTTACAGCATACAGTGCAGCATTTGTGTGTATGAGTTTGCAAAAAGAAAAGCTTGCTCGTTCGTTGCGAATCGAATGGTGTGCTCATGCTCTCAGCTCATGCTACCTATGTTAACATTGACTTGTTCTCCTTTATGGGAGCGAGGTGGATGGACGGAACAAGGTCACAGGCAATTCCAGAGTCCTGGACAACTCACTCATGGAATGGGATGCTGTATGTAACCCAGTGAAAGTCAGAGAGTGCATGTTTTGCTCCTGGAGTAACTAGGTTAGCAGGAAGATGCCAAAATAAGTGCAAGGATAGCTAATAATCTCAGCTTAAGATTTTGTTTGCACAATATTTGCAATATTTTGGTCTGATGTCACGCATTGTCCATGTGTCTGTGCAGTTTAATCAGGAGTTTTCTGCACAAGAGGTGATTCATAAATTGTTATGCACACAAATAATTGTGCCAAATAAATAGCAAAACATATGTACATTTTAACGAGTACAATACATAGTCATACCTTTATTCATTTCATTATTAAATCCGCACAAGGTTTACAATACATCGTCTGAAAAAGTATTATTATTATTATTTGTTAAGCTGGTAAAAACATTGAGAAGCAAAAAAGAGAAGACTACTTACAAATTCAGTCGGTTTTGAACACATCATTTCATTTCATACTAAAATTACGGTTGAAGTGGAAACAGTTAAGATTAATTGGGAAGAGAAACCGACTACCTGACCAATACACTCGACCTTGCCTTATAATTTATAGGTTATAAATAATGGTAATGGAAAACATGCTGACACATTGACCTAGCACTAATTGTAGTTCAATTCGTCTTCTTCTTCCAGTTTATGTATGTATGTATAAAAGTACACGAGACGAGATCGGGTTTTGCGACACGTTTTAACCCCTCCGAAAAATAAAGTCATAATCACAAACGAGAAACTGCCACAGGTAAATTATTATATACAAGAAAAAAGACTTGAATTATCTTAGTCATCATCATCAGTCTCAAGACTTTCGTCTACGACGCGTTCTTCTGTGGACTCTTCGTCATCTGTGACTACCATTTCATTTTGAGGAGGACGGGATGACATATTATTAGGCGAGGTCGAGGTCATCATTGTTGCTCCATTCCTACCAAAAACAAAGGACGAATTGGTCGGCATGTTAGAAAAAGAGATTGCTGCTCTCGGTGCAGAATTGGTGAGATAGTGGGGCTCCTCGTTGTCGTAGGCTAGACATTCGTCGTCATTTAGATGTGAGCCGCCCTCGATAAAACTGGAAAATCTAGAAGGAGAACAATATTCAAAAATTTCTCTTAAACCGTTTAACAATTTAAGAAATGTTTTTAATGAGAAAATTAGTTAATTGCAAATTGTTCGCTAGTTAACTTCTTATCACTTACTCACCTTCTTGGATTATTCAATCGGGCCACCAACTGCCACGGTTTTGCTTCCGGACTGGAACAGAAACTCTTCAGTTCAGCGAGTCCCTTCTGCGTCTCTATTACGCCCTGAGTAATGTACTCTTCTTCCGAGAGGAGGCGATGTGGAGGGGGAAACCAGCGGCGACTAAGTTAATTAATTACTTAATTAATTGTATTTAGTTAATGAATATAACTTGCATCTCAAACTCACTAATATCTCTCGAGGTAGTACATCAAAAACGTGTGACAATGATGGTACGCGATAATAAGGAGGATAATCGCGGTCGACATTTCAACGAAATCGCTGCTAAAGTGGATGAGGACGAGTCCGGTGACCTGTCAATATAAAAAAAACTCGTTAGCAATGTGTCCTTCCATTAAATAATACTCGTACAAAATAAATGCGCACCTGCAAACACCACGTAATAATATTCAACGTCTTCGGATGCTGCGGTGGCCCCCAGCGATAACATGCCAAAAACGAGAGGAGTGCTCCAGTAAATAAATACGCCACGATGTACGGAAGACGCTCATGCACTAATTCTTCGAATTGTTTCCAAGTCTCGCCCGCAAAATAGAATGCCATACTCCAGACCACACTCATGAGAAGGTATCCAGTTTTCCCCTGTAAATAATCCGATGAAAAATTACTTAAATTGACACTTTTAATTAATTAATTAATAATTACTACTACCAACCTTTGGCAAAAACCGTTGCAAAATGAATAGTAGAACCAGCGCGGCTGCTACTCCGCCCAACAGGGTGCCAGAGGAGTAAAAAAACAGCGTCGAATGACTTAACCTAGGCGCCATGAAGAACAACCCAATCCCAGCCGCCAATGTTAACACCTTCCACGGGTCGACAGCTATATAAAAAATATAAGTTTTCCAATTTTGAACTAATTTTGAAAAAACTAAAAATCAATGTTTTCATTTACGTCGAATAATGGTCATCGCGGTGTACGGTCGTGTCGTTGAAATTCCGACGCATGACGTGTTAAATGTGGGGAAGTGAGTCTGCAAAGTTAAACAAATATTAATTATTTGTTAATTAACAATTAGTAATTGCTAAGATTATTAATTGAAGTCCTTACATCTCGAGCTCGCCACGGAAGAACGTTGGCAATCCACAAGAGCCACTTTGTACTTTGGGTGTATTGCAAGTAAACGTCCCTCGGGGTGTGACCCTTGATAAGTTTGATATCCTCAGCCGAGCTCGTTATCCGTAACTGCATATCAAAAAGTTTGTCAAATTACAAATTATTTATGTCTCTTATCAAATACTTATCCCCCTCTTACCGTCGCCGTTCGAAAATAGTATGCCGCATATTTCTTCTCCCCAATTCGACAAAACATTTGAAAGTCGTAATCTTCATCGATATGCTTTTCCTGTCCTGGTTTCAAAACGTGAGTCACCTTTTTGATATCATCGTTCAGAGCGACGTCTAAAAAAAATCAAAAAAAGAACAAGTCATTACTTTATTTATTTTCAAAAAACTTCAAATTCCTGAGAACAAAGAAAAACAAAATGTCAGCCACCCCTAAAAAATGGAAATTTACGTACCTCCCCTGCAAAAAGTTACCCCTTCAAGAACCGTGACCAGGAGACATGCCCAAAACAGTGTGGGGCGACCCATTCTTAAAATTTGTCCTCCAAGAACAAGTCAAGGACAAGTTAATTTTTCTTTTGATAAAACCAAGAAGATGACGAAGAACAAACAAAGATAGATAAAATCCGAGTCAAAATGAAGATGCAAGACGACATAACAACAAACTCAGCCGCTCGGACTTGCTCAATGGTGGTGGTGATAGATTTCTTTGTTCATGTCAAAATAGCAAACAAAACTGGGGGAAAAGTCATGGAACAAAATTCATGGAAAAATATCGCTGGAAAAAATATTTTTCATAAATTGGGTATAAAACATATGTAAGTTTTTTTTTAATATCGGTTTTATTCTAGCCACCTCTTTTTTGTATTTTTACACGTTTCAGAATATTTTAAGACTTATTTTTACATCCTGTAAAATTGAAGAACTGTAGCGAAAACGGTGAAAATTAGCATATAAAATTCCCGTGCATAATCGAATCATGGTCAAAATTCAATAAAAACACAAATTGACGATATAAAATTCCTTGTAGAATCCAAGTTCAGAAATCATGGTCAAAATTCAACAAGAAAACATAAACATCCATCCGACTGAGTCATCTTGAAGCTTAAAAAACTTTGACAGCTTTCTGTCTAAATATTTATTACCCGTGAATTTACACAGTATTAAGCTAAAATTATGCAAATTGACACTTCTCCAGCAAAAATAAGTACCAACCAACCACCAAATCATCAATATTTGACTTCTCTCCTCCATAATATTCCCAGTAATACCATGAATCACCATTTACCACCAATTACCATCTCATCCATGTTTGTACATAGAAAACATTTAAATATTTTGTTATTATTACTGTGTATGTAGACATAGTTAAACAAACGGACGCATACTAATTCATGACTTCAGTTCGGCTATATTGATAATAACAACTTATTATTATTAGTTCCACTAATCTGGTGGACATGTCGAGTAAAGAGCTCTCCTCATTAAGCCCATGACGAATCTTATCTCTTACAATAATTATAGTAACAATTGCTGTTAAAATCATTTCTATTTGTTTTTCCTCGCCCTTAACGCACAAATCCTGGGACTGTCTCTGCATAAAGGTGAGCAATTAGTCCATCTTGAGTCCACTCCAGGGTGCAGGTGTTTATTAACAGTGATTATTATTAATTATTTTTAAACATAAACCAAAACCAAATTCATTTCCTTCTCATTCAGCGTTTCGACAGGGTCCGAGCAAGACGTTCAAAAAGTACAAAAAGTTGCCAATTTTTATTTGCATACATTCAAAATGTTGAAAGTGTGGCTCCTAATTTTCGCCACCTTCACTCTCACCGTCGCCTCGTTGGACAATGTGAGCACAAAAATAAATAAATAAAAAATTTCGAAATTTTGATTTTTACAAATTTTATTTATTTTTTATTTCAGTGCATCCGCTACAATCAGCCTTGCGTTCCGACCGACGCGTTGAAGGGTAACTGCTGCAGTGGGTACTACTGCCGATCACCGGACGGGATTATGGGGTCCTGCTTGTACAGTGGGTACTACTACGATTATCAGTAAAATGAGGAAGGATTTTCTACTTTTTGGACAAAATTTCAAATTTTTAGTAAGAATTAGTTAGAACAGAAATAAATAAATAGATGAAAAGTTTGTCTCCATCATGTCTTCATCTTGTCATCGTTATGTTGTTTAACTATCGTCTCATAGACTTGCATCAGGTGGGCGTAAAAGGCTTCATTTTTCACCAGATTTTGCACCCCTTCAACACCCAGCACCTTGTCCACGGTTTCCTGTGTCATCGTTCTAAAAAAACAGAGAGAAAATAGTAAAATTTTTTATTTTAATTTCCGGTACAAACTTTACAAAATCTTGATAAAATTGACTACAAAACCTATAAAAGTAAAGCCCTGTCAGGAAGACATCCTCTCAATCTAATTTTAATCTGATATGCAATTGGATATTATAAATTTTGAAAATAATAATTTGGAGTTTTGCCGAAAGAAATAAAAAGAAAAAACTACAAAAAAATTACATCAGAAATTGCTACCTCCGGATCTTAAATAAAATTAAGACCAATTAAGAACAATTCCTCACAAAAACTTCAACTTTCGGCGTAATCCCTCTCCAAAAAAATCGTCTCAGTATAATTTTAATCTGATATGCAATTGGCTATTATAAATTTTAAAAATTATAATTTGGAAAAAATTTTGCTAAAAACATTCAACAAACTTCTATAATAAATATTAAATCAGAATCTTTGGGATCCTCAAATCTTAAATATAATTTAGGCAATTCCTCACAAAAACTTCAACTTTCGGCGTAATCCCTCCCCAAAAAAACACTTACCTCTTCGCCCCCGGACATTCCAACGCATCCTGCACCGCCTCCTTCGTCATGACATCCCTCACTCCCCCAGTGGTTAACCACTCCACGAAAAAATCCTGATCCATCAACCTCGTAAAAAATCTGGCGTACGCGATCTCATGGATAATTTCCGGCCTTAAAAACCTCCTCATCACTTTACTCTCCATATTATTCAGGATCGCGCCCGGTTGTAAAATCCTCTCCACAATTTCCGACGTCACGATAAACCTGATCGTTTCAGGGGTGACAAAATCCGCTAAAAGGTCATGGTTCAAAATGGTCAACACCATTTCCGGAGTCACGATTTTCTTCGCGGTGGCCGAATCGAGCACGATTTTCATCGCTTCCGGTGTCATCAACGCTTGAACCGGTTCACTCGTCAGGATTATTCGATAAGTTTCCATCAAAATTGGATCATTATTCAACGCCTTGCGAAGGGTCGACGGACTCAAGAGATATTTCACTAAGGGCGTCTGCATCCCCGCGGAGACCAATTTGTTTAACAAGTTTCCGGAAATTCGCCCAATTCCCGACGCTAAACTGCCCCCTTTTGCCTTGACGTAGTCGACGAGACCGGATTTGTTCCTCTTTTTCAAAGCTGGGGAGGATTCGACGTCTTCCAAAATCACGTTCATGTCTTCGAGTTGGTCACAAACGAATAAATCTTCTTCACTCAGGTCGAGTTGAGCGGGGACAGATGGTGGGGGAATATTTTGGAGGGACTTTTTACCCATTTTTGTCTTTGACATGACCAGACCACCAATTTTTATGCACAGATTGAATCAAAGCAACGTTTGGATGGCAAGTGTGAGACGAATTGTTGGGAAAGAGTTATTTTATTTTATGACTGCATGACCATTACAAAACCTTACGTATAAAGTGGAGTGGATTTATTTTATTGACCTTCCTGTGACTGAGGACGACGACGCCATGCCACTGCTTAATCATTATCATAGTGTGATATATAGTGGTTTATGGTTGTCGTCTACCTTCACGGTATAATCATGACAGCTGCAGCAGCAAGTATGCTATGTATGTATTTAAGGTATGCCTGAATTTTTAATTGGCAATCATACACACATAACTCATCATCGTATTAAGTACAGAGATCATTCTTCATGCAGAAATACCCCGTTACGCCCACAAGATTACTAACCTCCTGGAGAGGAACTGGAAATTGAAATTAAATCATATTTTACTGGAGGAAGTGTATGTACATTATTTTTTGCCATATATTTGCCGACTTCCGATTACTGGTTGGTTGGCAAAATCACACGCCAGGGCCAGGTATTTATGTACATATGCAAAAAAAAATATTTGCCAAAAATAATTTACGCAAGCTTTTATTTTGTCCACTTCACAACACAACTCAGGACAATTCCAGGACACAATTATTCTCCATTCCATTTAAATTTAATGACACATTAATTACACTAAAACTATCACCTGCTCCGTCTATTATTTAATATCATCAATCTTTTTAAACCGAGAGAGCTTTAAATATATGTTATTTACAAGAAGAATTACTAACATTGTTTTATGTAAAAAATAAAATAAAATAAATTCAAGATAAGGTCAAGATAAGGATTCTTATCCACGGTCTTACTTACTCATAACGATTTTAATACTCTCTTATTCGCCCCAACTTTTCCAGAATTACTGTACTCGTTATTATTCACCATGTCGCTCATCAGATTGTCCTCCTTTTTCCCCGAGGCGTTCATACTCTTGGTCCAGCCCATCAAAATTATGAAGCTCGTCCCCCACAAGAGGACAATCGATATCGCCATCACGAGCCCCACGAGACAGATAAAATTCACTACTTCATCCGCAAAGGATCCTACCGTCGAGTAGTATGGAGTCCACGACCTGAAGAAAAATCAAGTCAAGACATAATTTCAAAAATTTTGAAAAATTTGTACTTAATTGAAAAAGATATTTTTACTCACATTATATTATTTTCTTCTAAAAAACGGTATCTTCTGATTCAATCTCTCCTCTCAGAAATTTTTGTGCAAATTTCCGTCAGAATTCTAAAATTTGAAAAATGAATCGTAAAGGTCAAGTGTGCATGTAACTAATATTTTGTATGTAATTGTCTCCTTAATCGTCATTTGTTAAGAATGAAAATGAATCCAAAAATTAAGGACACAAATTTTAAAAAAATCAAAAATTTGTATCTCAAAAAAATATTTTTACTCACATTCTTATTTTCCTCCACAAAAATGGTATCGTCTTCTTATCCAATCTCTCCTGTCACGAAATGAAACAATTTTTGTACAAATTTCCCTCAGAATTTTAAAATTTTGAAAAAACCTTAATCTTAAAGGTCAAGTGTATATGTGTGACTAATATTTTCTATGCAATGATCTCCTCGTTCGTCATTTAAGAATGAAACAGAATCCCAAAAGTAGGTTACCTATTAGATTAGAGACCTGCACCCTGCACTGTCTGTCTCACTCTGTAGTTGCGATGCGAGTTTCTACTACGAACCAAGTGAAACCAAATTACGGTCAACCAAACCAACAAACACCGTCAACTTATTGTAACAACAACAACTAACTAAACCAAATAATAAATTGGTGTGATGTATGTCTGCATGCATGCATTGCGAAGAAAAGGGTTACTTTTTCTTATGTTTAACTGTTATAAACCTAACTGTTCGTTAGGGACTCGCTGAAGGGATTGCAATTGTGAAGAGAATCCCATTGTTTTCTGTCTGTTAAAGCGTAACGCTACTTTGACATGGGTGCAGGTAGGTACGTTTCCACAAAAACTGATGAAATAATAACAGGATTTTTTTTTCCTTAAGTGCAACTGCATTGCGTAGGATGCGATCTTGAAATTGGTCGTAGGGGTCGATCAGTTTTTTTGCACGTATGTATGTGGATAGATCATAAATATGTTGCGCCATGCTTGATCAATCAATTCGTGGTGTGTGTGCAGTAGTTTTTTTTGCAAATAATTGATGGCGCAATTAACGAAGATGCTTGTAATGGGTAATTTTCGTAAAAATGTGTATTACCGTTTCTACAAGTTTACAAAGATTTAAGGTAATTCTGTGGAATTCGCGATGATATTTGCAATTCTATAAAATCTGCTTGAAAAAGTTTGCAAAAATTATGCGAATGTAAATCAGGGCACAAATTTACACAGCGAAGGCGAAGGCGTTTCTTTCTTTTTTTTAAATTTTGCACTAAAATTTACACAGTTTACAAACAATCGTTTCAATTTTTTTGAGTCGTTATTAATTAATTGGGTAGCATTATGACATCAGTCCTTTATATATTTTGTTAATTTGCATGAATGAAATTTTGATAAATAAAATTCAACTGTTCTTATTAATCCTTCAAAAGTGCGATGATTGATTCCATGTCGAACATTTTCCTCCCGTTGAGTTTCTTCGTCGTACTGCAAACCATGAGAGTGGGGATCGAGATGAGTCCAAACTGGGGATCACGTCGCCACGGATTGCTCGAACTTTCATTCCTATAAAAGTGTAAAAGTCAAAGTATGAATAATTCTTACTTGGAAAATTTGAGAGATCTAATTAATAATTTAATAATAATAATAATTAAATTTAGCAATAATTAATGATTTAATTCATAACAGTTTTTCCATCTTGATTAATTAAGACGTCGCTAAACAAAATAAAATTGTGATGAGCAAAATAAATTTCATTACAGGTTAAAAATAGTAAAATAGGCAGGTTTGTTTTTAGTTTTGATAGTGTAAGATTTGTCCAATTTTGCAGACAAAATAAATTTGAATGACCACTCCCACTTACGAGTAAAATTTTACATTAAAAAAATACCACCATAATTTTACCAGATTTTTTACATAATTTGGTGCGCATAAAAATCTCTGTAATTTTCTAATTCTTGCTTTAAATTTGAGGAAAAATTTATAAAACAAAATTTAAATTGCGTAAAATTGTTCACGTTCACCCCATAATAATTTTTCGCGATTATTCTCGCAAAAAAATATTTTGGACGGCAAAAGCTATTATGATAATTTTGAAAAATTACCATTGCGTCCTGTTTCCAGTCGAAATTTTGATAAAAGTTCCCCCCGCCTGGATCTTTTTGATGAGGAAGGACACCGCTCTCTCGGCAATATTGCTGTCGTGATGCCAAACCTTCCCGTTCCGATCTCTCGACGCCACGAAGAACAAGACGATCTGGTCGTTGTTCCTATTTGACTCCATCAACTCCTTAATTCGCACCTTTGCCTCGCGGTACGAAAAAAAGTCGTAGCTTTCGCGAATCATTTCCGTTGGTGTGGACGGGATTTCGTCCACGGTGGGGGCAGGTCCATGCTGGGAGGGATAAAATTATGAAAAATTGTACCAAAAAATTTTATTTCATAATTTTGAAAAAAATGAATTTGTGGTAAAAATACGAGAAATAAACTTTCAAACCTACATAGATCTAAAATTTTGGATTATCATTTCCACAAAGTTTTAATGCGTCGTCGAAATGATAATTTGACTAATATTTAAAGTTTGGAAGCAGTTAAGAATAATCTTTAATTAAAATATAGTATTATTTAACAAGGATAATTTTAATCCGTAACTGACACTTAATTCATTTGCTACGTTAATCATTCAAATTTGAAATTTCTTTAAAAAATTAAATTAAAATACTCGATTAAATAAGACACCACTAATAAACTAAAATTCTGCTCGGAATCACTAATTGTTTTGCAGATCGGTCTTTAGGTTACACCTTTATTATAAATTATAGATTATAATTTGGAAACTCAACTTCATCCTCCACTTCCCACCTAAATAATTACTCGGGTGGGCGTGGTTATATATTTAGAACTTACATGATGATGGTGATGGTGATGATGGTGGTGATGGTGACCGTGATGATGACCGTGATGGTGGGCATGATGGTGGTGATGATGTTCATGGGCGCCTTTATTGAAGCAATTTTTCGAGTATTTAAATATCGTAACGTGACGATTTTTTATAGTCAAATAATCAAATCTTTAGCCCTACGAACCATGATGATGCTCTCCACCGTGATGATACAATGGATGGTTTGGATCGTCCAAGTGGGCCAGCAAACCTTCACTTGCCCTAAATTCCAAAAAAGAGGGACCCATTTTTATTATCAAATTTGAAAATTTTGAAAATTTGATCATATTTGATGAAAATTTTAGTATAATTTTGAAAAACGAACCTTAACATTGGTCCCACTTTGCTCGCCCGGGACGCCCTAATTCCCAAACTTGCCCGCGACGCGAGTGACGCTCTCGAAGCGCGGGACGAGTAAAAGCTATGATACGATCGTATCATTGGCATCGAGGCGCGCGTTTCGTGGGGGAAATAACTATAGCGCGACGAATCGTGACTCCCGTGATGATGGGAATCCTGGTGGTCATGATAATGGTGATAATCGGTTATCGGTGCGGATTCCGGGGAAGAATTTGCCGGTGCGGATGCAACCAGGTTGTCAGGTCCTTCGAAAGCTAAGTGACTTCGTTTTGCGCCATGGGTTTCTCCTCCTCCTTCAGAAGGCGGGTCGGTCGGAGGGGGTGGAGATGATTGGGCGGAAAAAGAAGGTTCCGACATTGGTGAAGGGAGGAGGAATTTTAGCCAATTTGGGATAAAATGGGAATTTTGGGGTTTGTTTAGGGTGAGATTTTCATAAGTTTTGGCAACGTGATCCACAAAAGTTTGTAGTTATGGGATATTATTGTGGTCAACGTTATGCTGTACACCCCGATGATGAAGTATACCACACACAGGTGTAAGTAGGCAGTTAGCAAAGCTACATTTTCAAAATTTTCTACATTTCTTGTGTTTAGTCAAAATTTAAGAGTTCATTTGAAATCATTCTGTCGTGTTCCCAGAATGATTTCAACGTTAAAGCAGTATTTGAAATGGGTGGGGTCGATAAAAGTTAAATTTCCGAAACTCGACGGAGAAAAGTGTATCGTAAATTTTTTCAGTCAAATAATATCTCAAATCAGGAAGATTATCCAGTTATGGATAATCCATGCGGTATCACAATTAGATAAGATAACATAGAACCGTCCCGATAATGAGATCACATCTACTCATGTCAGTTAGTTGACAATACGACTTTGTTGGTAGAGGGTGTTATAATTTTGGGAAACATGCGAAAAAAGTAATTTTTCAGATCGAAAAATATTTAAATATTTACTAATATGTGAATTTGAAAACTGGAAATTTCGACATTTACGACTTTCTCTAGCTTGTAGCGATGTCTTTTGCCAAATTCAAAAATTTCTCAAAATCAGAAATATTTTTCATCATTCTGATAACCGTGTCGATAAAATCGCTTGCGTCCTCCAATCTCAACCCCGAAATTGATAATGACTGTCCGGGTTTCTCTTGTCCAAAAATCCTCTGCGATCTGAAGCGCAAAAATGTGCAAGATTTTTGTGAGAATGTGCAATGTTTTGGAATTGAGGTGACGAGCTGTGCGAATATTACCCACGCCTCAGACAAGGGGATGCTAATCTATGAAGAACGATTAACAATGTGTGGATGTTGTCCGGGTTGTGCAAAGTATCAGGGTGAGAAAATTGTGTTGTGCAATTTATGTTATGCAAAATTATTTTTGAAAGAATTTCCAATACGGATGGAAAATTAACATTCATTTTTGATATTTTTGGCGTAGTACATAAAATTCTGACCATTTTAATTTTTGCACATTGGACATTTAATTTTTGTACATTGGACATTTAATTTTTGCACACAATTTTTGCACATAATTTTTGCACATGGTTGAAAAAAATGGCTCAAATTCTTATTTTTTTTTGTCCATTTTTGGCCCACTATTTTTGCACTGTTTCTACTTTGTTTTTGCATACTTTATTCCAGGCCTTGATGAAAAATGCGAGCAATATCCTCTCCCTCCCACGCCAGACCCGGCTTGTACAGGAATTGTATGCCCAATTTTGATGAACACGTGCGCCCCCGGTCTGATTTGTCCGCTGGTTGGTCCGAATGCGAAAAATTGCAGTTACAACTCCACTTCGCCGGAAGAATCTGCCAAATTGACCTCGTGCGGCGATAAGCGCGCCCTCGCACTCCACGACGACCTCCACTGGACCCCGCAATGTGAGAAGGACGGGTCGTACAGCCCGAAGCAGTGCAAAGGGTTGCGCGCTAATGGAATCTGCTTCTGCGTGAGTAAAGAAGGTGACCGCATTTTCGGGACGGAAAATCGACGCCAAGCGGAAAATCAGACGTGCGGTAAGCGAAAAGAACAGTGGCCGCTGAAGGGTGGGGACAGAGGGACAATTCGGTTATTCGATGTCCGAATCATCTGCCCATGTTGTATGATAGCTATTCCATCTTATCATAACATTACCGGTGGGACTTGAACCGTCGGTTCGGTCACGGTCCGGTTCCAGTTAAAAAAATCGGTTTCACTTACCGAGAACCGAACCGAACCGGACCGTTGAGACCACTACCCCTCCCTCCCCTATCCTGAAATGTTTATGTCCCTAGATTTCTTCCCCGTTTCCGCGGCCACTGATAATACATACCTGAAAATCAGACACTTTTACCTATTCATTAATTATGTCCAGCATGTAGTCGGCAAGTCCACGAGCTTCGTGAATCCGGTCACATTGCCTCGTTTCACTGCACACCCGACGGAAACTATGAGCCCCTCCAATGCGACACGGACTCTGCCCTTTGCTACTGCGTGGAACCTAAAACCGGGAAAATGACGGGGGCCGTCCTGCCGGAAAACGAGTGGAAAAAGCTGCCCTGTTTTTCCCTCAATTTGACCAACTCTAATCCCAAGTTCGGCTATTACCGGGTGTGCGAGAGCGAATGGGCGCCCGCACAAAAGTTGTCGCTTGAAGCGTCCCTTCACGGCTTGGATGTCTGGTCAGGAAGGAGGCTCAATTGCGATTTCGATGGGAGTTACGCCCCCGTGCAGAACATCGATAAAATGTGAGTGGGCAAATTAGTGATATTAAATATGCATGTTTTCGAATTTCTGGAGCTTTTTTTAATTTCTAATGATGCAGCAAGGTTTCGAATTTATTTCGATATTTCCAAATTTTGAATTTTTTCACCACTTCGGATAATCCATGCTAAAACATTTTTCATGAAAATTTCAGCACGAAATGCGTCAACAAAGATAGCACGCTCATAGCTGCATATCACGATACAGAGGGCAAATTCGACACAGATTGTCGTAAGAAAGATCCACATTATGAATTATCCAGGTAACGTTATCATCACTATTTGCATTTTTTCAGAATGCGCCCGAGACGCAATAAAATCCTCGCAGGAAGGGATCACGTTCGGGAAAAGGTGTGCCGCTACCGGAAATTACGACATGATTTCACCCATCGACCAAACCCAGCCACGCCGTTGGCGCTGCGTGGACCGAGATGGAATATTTTTTGGGGAGGATACCCCCGTCGATGATAAGTACAAATGCTGCCTTTACGGGAATTTGGTTACTTATCCGCCCAGAAATTGTGACAAGGAGCCGATCGAGGTTCAAGAACAGTGCTACGATCCGACGAAGGATGACGAATGGAATGTAAACAAGACGAAGCCGTGCTATTTTTGGGCGACGTAGTGGACGAAACAATTAAATAATAAACCCATATTTTTCGCGTGTGTCATCAGTTTCTAAATAAATTCATAGAGATTAATCATGTACATATTTTCAGCTTGACGCATTTCTTCATTATCAATCATGATAATTCATGATCACGATTTATGGTGGAGTTTTTAATTTAAACGAAATTACAGGAATCGGGTCGGGATTAATAAGATTAGTAGTAGCATGAATCAGAGTCAGTTATCTAAACTTCGATAACGTAATCCTCTGCAGGATTATTTACTTATCAATTTCAGAAAATATAAACTAGTTAATTTCCGACAAATGGTAGATTGGAATTTTTTGCACGTACAATTCCAGCATTTCTGATTTTATTGCGGCATAATTTTACAGAATTTTGCAAAGATGAGGGACAAACTTCTCTACGTGAAATACTATTCCAATAATTTACTCGTTTTAGCCGGGCTTATCTTGTTCGTGGTTATCATTCCCAGTTCAATAGTTAACTGTTCAGCACTTTGTCCCAAAGCGCTCAGCTCTATTCCTAACGTTTGTGACCGTTTTGAGTGTAAACGCAACATGACGGAGGCGGACTGCCCGTTGGACACGATCTTCGTGAAGGGACTCACGCTGTGCGGGTGTTGTCCCGGATGTGCGAAGTATATCGGATTTACCAAAGCGTCATGTACGTGTGAAAAATAAATATTTACAAAAATTGTATATAAAGAAAATTGTATTTCGTTCGAGTAAAAAAAAGTGTTTTCAAATATGGAGCAATGAATTATGATTAATTAAAATTTTGCATTTGAACAACGCCACAACTAATAAATTTTGGACATTCACATTTACATTTGAGTTGATAAAAAACTTGTTTGTCAGTGAATTTAAAAATTAAAAATTTTGCGAATGGTTAGCACCATAAATTAAAAAATACGAAAATTCGCATATCAATTCGCTAATTAGATGATGTACTTTTCGTGCCCAAATTTATACATGTGACTTGTTTTCGAGATTTTGATATAAATGATGATATTTCAGGGCTATATTATTTTACGTGATTCATAAAATTGTGTGAAATACCAAGAGCTTGCATTTTACACAGTATGACAATTCTAAACTAGTCTTATCCAGCGTTTGTGGATTTGGTCGGATCAAATTGTTGTTGGATTGTTGCAATTATTGTTGCAAATTTCAACACTGATATTTTACACGCTGTATTATGTACCATATTCATATTTATTATATTTATTATCAAATTTAATACGAGTTTGCACATCATACAAACTTGCAATCTTTCTAAAAATTCATCCAACTATTTCAGCCAATGCAACACAAAGAAACTGTACCAACTCGAAAAATGACATCGTGAAGTCGCCCGAACCATTATGTGCGGGTCCAAACTGTCCCATTCTAATCAATCAGTGTTTCCCTGGCCTTGTGTGTAACGCTTTCAACGGGTCATGCAGCCTCCCCACGTCCCCCCGAAACTCCTGCACGGAGGAATGCATGTACAAAAAGAGTCTCAAACGGCTCGGTTTATTCCACTGGGATCCCATCTGTGAGGAGGACGGGTCATACGCTCCCAAGCAGTGCAAAGGTGACCACGTGACGGGCATCTGCTTCTGCGTGGACCCCTGCGGAAGACGCATCTTTGGTCAGGAATTTAGAGCCGATTCCAAAAATCAGACGTGTGGTGAGCGAACAAGATTATTTCGAAATTTTAATAATTTTTGATTTTCAAATTCAACAATTTCTCAGCCTGCAGTCGACTCGCGAACAATTTGCGTACCTCGGGAAACGTTGCCACGCTGCATTGCACACCGGACGGTAACTTTGAACCGCTTCAGTGCGATACTGACTCCGCGCTTTGCTACTGCGTTCATGAAAGAACCGGGAAACTTCTTCATGGGGCCGTAGTTCCGGAAACCCGGTGGAAAAGTTTGCCCTGTTTGACCCCAAATGTGACCAATTTTCTGCAAAATGGTCACTACTTGCGCAAATGTGAGAGTAATTTCGCCGCAAATGAGAAATTTATAAATTATTGGAAAATACACGGGTTGGAGAATGTGACGATTTCACTGCCACATTTTAACTGTGATTATGACGGGAGTTTTGGTCTCGTGCAGGAATCTGAGTCGAGGTTAGTGCTCAGGTTTTAATTGGATATTTAACTCTACTAATTTTTAGGGGGGGGGGCGAGGGGGAAATCAATTTTTTTGGAGTTGATAAGCGCATATTTTTATTTGCTGGGAAAAAATCGAAATGTTTTGGAAAAAAGTTTTTTTTTTGTTTTACGTTATCAAAACACCTAATTTGAATATTTACAGATTATATAAAAACATGTATATTTGTCCCATAGGTACGATTGCGTTTTCAAGAATGGGTCCAAAATCGGAGACTTTTCGTCCATAACAGATCAAGTTGATTGCAGTAAGGATAAAAATAAAAAGAAAAAAGAGATAATTTTCTCAAAAATTATTAATTACTTGTTGGCCTTTTACTTATCAGATTGTGCCCGTGACCAGATCAACTACCAAATTAAGGGGAGACCTTTCTCCATCGAGTGTGTACGTAATGTCGGAAATTACCCCAACAGTGTTGACTTTGGTTCCCACGCGTCCTGCATTGACCGCGATGGGATTCCCTATGGGGACGCGGTCCCCTCCAAGTATGCCTGCTGCCTGAGTAACGACTGCGTCCTCGCGACAGCGATGGAATGTCAGCAGAATGGATACATGTCATGTTGTTCTTGGCCGTATGGACCGGAGTGCACGTACGAAACGACCGATGCAACGACGTAAAATATGATGAAATTCTAATTTTATGCCAAGATTTTGGTTCTTTTTTTAAAAATAAACATACATAATTTTACGATCAAGTATTAAGTTGTACGTATTTACGATCGTTTTTAATGGACATTTTTTCATGAAATTGGGTGAAATAAGTAGTTGCGTAATTTCTCTTCCATACAAAATGAATACAATTCATCTGAAATATTTCAAAATGTTGCAATTTTAATTGTAAAAAGATACCTAACTTGCAAAATTTAATCAGATCATAAGTCCTACAAATATTAAAAATCGTCGCACTGTAAACTCTCCCAAAATGCCATTCTCGACTTGAATGGCTCGTCTATCATTTTTGACCCTGTTTTAGAAATATGATAATATTTTAAAGATCTTCTTTCCTCAGGGGAAGTGGGGACGATGTGGCGACCCAGAGGCTCCCAAGTATTTGACGAGCTGTGCTTTGGATTACTAGAGAGATAAGTAAAAGTTTATTTGTCGTTAATTTGCACACGGACCGAAAATTTAAATATTTATCGCACCCAATTTTCCCGAAATTTGCCCACATCTCGGACATTTTGCCAATCATGTAGTCATCTTCCGTACCCTTTACGATATTCGAGTAGAATATCTTTTGGTTCATGATGTACTGTAATTCGTCCGCATGTGTGGCACCTGATTACAAGATATACATAAATCCTTAATATTTAAATCCTTCATAATTTTATCTGCATACCATAAGTTTCCAAAATTCCGAACGAGTTTAAATAACTGAATTCTCCGTGGTAGTCAAAAAAATAGAGAAATATTGGATTCTCCTCCGTCTGAAAGGAGGCGTGATACAGAGCCGTCGTTTTGGTCGAATGGATGAAAAATCTATCCGAAAACATGTCGATTAATCTCCCCCTCGATTCGGGACTGATGAGTTTGTCGCCAAAGTAAAATTTTCGCACGGCCGAGGCGAACTCATTTCCGGTCGGGAGTGAGGATTTATCATAAATGAGATGTTTCGGAGCTTCGTCAAACCAGGCGGAATTTGCGGCTTGGAGACGGCTCGGATTTTGGAGGAGGGCTGTATGTCACGTAATTTGCTTAATTATTATTTAATTAATCAATGAAGCTGCATACTTATCATATTTACTCACGTATTGCTCGATAAGCACCTTCCTGAGCGTTTACCCCCATCATGAGTGGAACTTGGGTGGCAAACCGGTTAGATTTTACAACGTCGAGAGGACAATCAGCCAAGAAAGTGTGGTCCGATGGTGGACCGGACTCGGCACTTGGCGTAAATGCGATAAGAGGTTGCTCCTTCCATTCCTGGAGATAAATTTGAAATAAAACTCAAATTTCGTCCAGCAAAATTTGATCAATCATAGTACCGTAAAATCCATTCGTTGCGCCGCAATGGCGTAGGGATTGACTTCTTTGAGCACTTTGACCATTTCAGTCATATCGGTGAGGTCACACTCAATCCCCAATTGTTTCACGAGATCGCGTACTTTTTGTTCGGGTCGTTTCGTGAAAGCCCAAGGACTGAGAGCATTCCTGGAAGAACAAAATGTCAAACAAAAGTGGTCATGTGTAATGATAAGCGAGACGACTTACCCACTCTGCATGATCCCTCGGTGAAAAAGCCCTGCAAATTGATGATAATGTGCATGCGTTAATTATAATTATTGGGATACTCATGCACATAATTTGCTTATCGTACCCTTGCTCATGGGCGACATTAAATGAAAATGAACACACGCGGCGCCCGCCGACTCGCCAAAAAGAGTAACGTTGTCCTTATCACCGCCGAAATAGGAAATGTTTTCCTATAAAATGTACATGAGTTTTATTTTTATTGTGATTTACTACCTAAATTTCGATGATTTCTGCCAGAAAATTTGCATCAAAAGATTACCTGCACCCATCTGAGACACATGACTTGGTCCTTCATCCCCATGTTGCCTCCTACCTGGCCGTCCCCACTGTTGAGGAAGCCTGCACCGCAAAAAGTACAATTTTTTGTCTCATCCCTTCTACACAAATTTGGTCACAAATTACATAATTTTACTTACCAAAAGCACCAAGTCTCTGCATAAAAATAAAATAAATCATCTGACATTAACTAATGCCATCAGTTTGATAACTTGTTACATAATTAATCACTCACATAATTAAAAGTGACCAAGATAACGTCTTGATCTATGAGATATTTCCCCCCATACAAATCACCACCTCCTGACGTTGACATTGATTTCCATGAATTTTAATTGCGTCATAATAAAGTGAAAATAAATACCCCTCTAATTATTATCTTACCGACATAATATCCTCCACCGAAAATGAAAACCATAACTGGCAAACCATTCGTCGATGAGATACTATTTGGAGATCTTTTATTTTTTCCGGAGGGGAGCTGGAAAACAGAAGAATCGACTAATTTTATGATTTAAAATAATGAACAATTAAAAAGCTTATCATCCTCAAACTACTTGTGGCGTAAAAACGTTCAGAAAAAGACAATCTTCACTCCCCAAAACACGTCGTGTGATGAGACTCGCTTGGGCGCAACGTTCCCGTGGTTTTTTCCCGTCTAAAAGTCCACTCCATTTCTCCCATCGTTCCGGAGGCTGTAACAAAAAAGTAAAAAAGAACTTGGTACAATTTACCACCCTGAGAAAATTAATTTGCAAAAAAATACCTGAAATCGTTCCGGACACCGTTTGGCGAAAGGGATTCCATAAAATCCAAAATAATCTCGGCACTCTCTCGACTGTAGTAAAACCCCTTCCACGATTCCTTGAGGAAGGTCAATAATTGGATCTTTTGACCCTGAAATACCTGACATCATTGTCCTTTTATTTATGCGAAATAATGGGTCAATCTTCTTAATTGACCGAGTTTTGCACAGGCCACCGCGGCGATAAAACGTCCTCCCCACAATCCAAAAGCGATTGGACACGACCAATGAGGATATTTTGCAAAATTATTAAATTGTAGATTTTTCACCGATCAGCCGGTCGTGTTGATGTTGGTTGAAGTGAAATTGGACGAGGAATGAATGATTTGCATGCAGACTGCATTTGACTGAACTGCGAGAATTGGTATCGTTAAATTCGCATCATATATAATCATACATACGCAAACGGTGATGATGAAGACATAGATGAACAAGACGATATCATGATGGGAAAACCGGTCTCACGCATTTTTTCATGCAAAATTCTGCACTATTTTATTCATTTAGATTATTTGCTAATGCTATGCTTCCATAACAAATAGGAAATGAATTGCATGGAAATTGATCACTGGACCGTTTCTGATTTATCTATGAGCGTCGGTACAAGTACGACGCTTGACCGACACCTTTTAGTAAAAACCTAATCAATTAAAAAAAAAGATGAGAAGATTTTTTATATCCCGACAATTCTCAAGTTTTTAAAAAAATTTACCTTATTTCCATTTTACTATTCCTTCAAAAACTTCAAATTATGAAAACAATGCAACTCATCGTGTGTAAAATTGTAAAACTAATATTCAAGAATCGTCAAAATTCAATAAAATTTCCAAAAAAATTTGTAACCAAACATGCCCTCAAAATTCTGGAGTTCCAACACTTTCACCGTAGTTTACAAAGTATCTAGTATTAACAATTTTTTATTAGGCTTGTTTCTAAAAACTTTAAAGTACGACGTGTAAGTAATCCAGGGTAATCCACGTAAAAAAATATAAAGTCTGAAAAAAAATCTTTCCTAGAAACTTTTAATTCTATACGATCTGTTTTATAGCAGTTAAGTAAGTTTTGCAAAAACTAGCCACTTATGTAATTACGACCTGATTTTTAAGAGTTAATTTAATAAAGTTGCACCGGTAGATTAAGTCTCAATTACTTGATTTTAATTATTCATTTCTAGATTAATTTTAATTATTTCATATAAGCGTTTACAAATTAATCCTAGATATGTAAATATTACAGAAATCAATTACATGAATAATCTGAATAATCTGGTAGTTTTATTAGAATCTCATAAATAAGTAATCTTTACAGAATGCAATCGGTTTTTCCATGCGACGCGACATCGTTAAGCACCAGGGCACCATTTTCATCTTCAGAAACATTGGATTTCGTACATGCACTTCCGTTTAATGCAATGTCGTCATTTCCCAAATTTTGGAATAAACAAATCAGCTCTCGTATGAATTACTTAACACTCGAATCATTATGCATACGTAATATAGCGTACTTTCACCCTTTTCCGGGTATGGTTTTGTTGTGCCTTCCCAGTACCATGGCACTTCTAAATACTGCTACCCGGGCATCGGGTCGTTGTATCCTCCCATTCACAAAAATTCAACCAGATATTTCTTAATTTATCACCCTTGTGATAAATAAACAGCAAAATTATCTCTTTTTTAGTCAGGATGTTATAGTTCTTTAATTTGCGATGGGTTCCCTAATTTCGAGGTGTACGTCGTCCTGCTGCTGTGCATTTTGTCAAGGGTCACACCGTTTCAAGAGGCAGGAATCATTTTCAGGAATTTTGACCCAAACTGGACAAAGTTGCAGTGCTAATAATTTTAGTTCTTCGTCTCCTCTCGAAATAACAACTCAGCCGAAACAACAGAAACAATACTCTTGGTATATTGATTTATTTACAATTGTTTAACGCATTTTAGGGAATTTTAACCCTTTACATACATATTTCTGAAATGTATATTTGTAAAAATTACAAGTTATACAACTCGAGATTTTAGTTGCATTTAAAATTTGCACGAATTTTTGCACAGGGACACCCGTCCAAAACAGGACCCTGCAAATTACACCATTTCCGACCTTCGTGACGGCGAACAAAGGGTGAAACGCCCGGGTGAAATTAACGGGCAGCAATTCATCATAAAAAATTGTACTAATTCCAAAATCTTCATGTTCGATTACTCCAGCCAAGTTACGATTGATGATTGTACGGATTGCCTCATTGTGTGTGGACCAGTCCAAGGAAGGTATATGCATTTAGATACGTACATATTCAAAATTTTGGAAATCAAAATTATTAAAATTTTTGGTTTCAGCCTATTTTTACGAGACACAAAAAACTCTACACTCGTCTGTACCTCGTCCCAATTGAGGTTGCGAGATTGTCAAAATATTCATTTATTCGTCGCAACAGAGTCCGATCCCATAATTGAGGCGTCCACGGAAATTGTAGTAGGACCATATTTCCTATCGTATAATGGACTCGTGGGTAATTAAATATGAAGCAATTTAGTCGGATGTTTGCGTAAAATATTTTTCAAAGTTTTACAAAATAACGATATGCGTAATTTTGAAAATTTACGAATTTTGTGGTTTAATTCACTTATAAATTACAAGCATCTTAGCCAAATGCCTCAAAATGTTCACAACTTTCTCTCTTTCGCGAAATTCCTAAATTATGTGCGTATGCAAATTTCAGACCAATTTAAATCAGCGAAACTCGACCGGTCTAAAGCGACACATTGGTCAGAAATTTACGACTTCACGCCAAACGATGTCACCCCGAATTGGAAACGTTACGAGAGAGGAAAGCACACACCGGAAAAGTACATCTGCCTCCCACAACCTGTCAATTTTTATGCTGATCTTGAAATACGCCTGGAGGATGAGACTACTCTAGTTCAAGCAAATGTTATTTTACAAGATTGAATTTTATAGTATTTACTCGTATTTTATTTATTGTATTTATCCATGAATATTTTCTTCTTAGTAGTTCATACAAAATCTTAATATAAATATATGCAAAAATACACCAACTGTATTGAAAAGATTACTATTATTAACGTCGATCCGTCTTTTCAACGCCACGCTTGCCGACGAAGAGATGTTTCGGTTTGAGGTCGAAAATGCGACGATCTCCTTCTCCTTTTCGGGAGTGTTTGGCGATTCCCTTCTTTTGTGCTTTGGCGTGCATCTTGCCCAACTTGGTTTTCATCTAAGGGAAAATTTAAATTTAAAGGTTTTAGATGATAAGACGAGTGGTAATAATGCTGTAACTTTTTATGGTTATAAAAATATTGGTGACTTACCGTAGCGTCCTTAATACCCATCTCATTTCGAGGCGCTTTAGACATAGATCTTGATCGAGAACGGGCCGTGGATTCGAGTCGCATACGCTTTTCAGCGGGACCTTTGGACCGTGAGCGGCTTACGGAGCGGGCAAAGTTGGTCTGTGTGCATAGATAATTATAATTAAGGATACTTAATTATGACTTAAAAATGACCAGTTTTGTACTCACGATTGGATTGTCGGTATCGATTTCGACTCCAAGTTCGCTCATCTTCCTCTTCAACCCGGACACGCTTCTTTCTCGCTTCCTACCTGCTGTATTTCGTGGAAGAGTGGGTTTGTTACTGCATTTTTTGAGATGTCGTTCAATCTACAAAATAGAAGAGACCATTTTTATGAAAAAGTTCTAAAATCGGATAAATATTAAATTGATAAATTATGATTTATTTTATATACCTTCATAATTTTCTTCTTTTCACGAATCTGTGACTAGGGATGGTAATCCGTATCCTAAATTAACCGATCCGTAGGATAGGATCGGATAAATACAGGATCGGATCGGATCGGATTTGCTCGCTTTAGGATCGGATCGGATTTGCTCGCTTTAGGATCGGATCGGCTCCCGGTTCTACTCGAAATCCGATGCGATCCGATCCTAGGATCGGATCGATCGTAGGATATCCGCGGATGATATGTGTGAGACACCTTGTGTCTAACTATGGAAATACTTTACCAGCTGCTTTTCTTTATTTATTGGAACGGTTTTTGGTGAGTTCATCACATGGCGTACATTACCCGAATGAGCCGAATTATCCTATTATTTTACACCAGAATAATAACATAATTCGGCTCGTTCGGGTAATGTACGCCATGTGATGAACTCACCAAATGTGAAACGAGTTTACATCGGATGATCCGAGGATCCTGTGTGATCCTAGGATCTCATCGGTTAGGATCGGATCGGATTGTCTGATCCTCGGATCCTCTATCCGATCCGTGTGAAAATCCGATCCTATCCGAGTTTTTACGATCCTAGGATAGGATCGGTTACGGATTACCATCACTATCTGTGACGCTAACTGCTTGATATTTTCATCCTCCTCGTCCGTGTCGTCATAATAGCCAGCCTCCTCGCGAAGCTCTTCCTCTCGCTCCAATTTCTGAGAGAAATTTTAACAGAATTTTATAAATTTTGTTTAACAAATCTCAGATAATGCATATTTATGCACTTAATTTAGTGGTGCTTGCTACTACCCACCTACATGATGTCTGGATCAATAAAATCTGCAATATTCTTGCCCTCCCAGATTTCCGGGATTGCATCATACTTAATTTTATCAGGAAGATCGTAATGTTTCTTTAAATCGAGGATGTAATCGTCTCCCATTTCTAGTTCAATGTCACGCTCGAGTCGCTTCTTGGGTCGCACACCTCCAGTAAGCATTGCCTGCTTCTTCAGAATAACGGCCTCTGCAATTTCAAATTGGTTGAAAACATTAATTACAATTCTATTTTTAATGGCGTATTAATTTAAAAACCTACCCGGGATGAATGGTAAACGTTGCTTATCATCTCTTGGTTTCTGCACAGCTACGTGAAGACGATTAAGAAAATCGTTCACTTTCTTGGTTCGTAATTTTGCATCGACTCGGAATGAAAGCAAGCGGTCACAAGCCTGTAAAATCAAATTATTACAAAATTTAACTCTTTTCTGTACATATATTAAAAAATCTACTGGAAAATCCTTAATTTTTACGTCACCTCCTGCTTAACATTCATAACACCGTCCTCATTCACCAGGGATAGTTCATTAGGGATAGTTTCATACAAAGTGTGAGTGAAAAGCGGAACGAGGCCAGTATCTACGCTTAAGGCGATAGAAAAACCGGAACACACGCGAGGAGAACGCCAATGTGACGCCGGCGGCGAATCCTGCGGGTAACCACCAAGGGGCAACCCCAGCAAAACAAAGGAGAAAAGAGAATCCCAAACCAAGTATGCAGAGGAAATCTTCCAAGTCGTGCTAAATAATTAAAAAAAAGATTGTGCCAAATAATAAGAAGAAAAATTAAAAAAAACCTACCTCAAACACTTTAACAAATCTGAAAAAAAATTAACGATTAATTAGTATTAGTAATTGCTAACAAAATTGTAACTGCAACAACGACAGTTGCAATTTTGTTAGTAATTACTTACGCCGCTGATCGTGTCCCATGTCTAAACATAATGTGGCTTCTGCCAATTATAAACTAAGACTAAGGTAACTTACGTGATGAATTCTTCTTCGAAGTCATCTTGTCCAGCCTCCTCAGGATTAACCTCGTATTTGGGAGGTTCACAGCATAGTGCAACCATTATGGATATCTAATATAGTTTGCATATCAATTTTCATGAAAGCGATATGCATTTATAGAGCTCATATCTAAATACACCGAGGCCAAGTCCAATTTAACATTTCACAACGATTATGCTGTAATGTAAAATAGTTTTTAACTATTATGTAACACAATATATCATTTCAACATCTCTACCAAAAAATAGCAGTTTATTCATTGTTGTCAAAAGTTTGAAACACAAAATGCACTCTAAAATGTTAATCATTTAACCCGTGCAAGGCGGATGACATGACAAAATTAAATTTTGATTGATGTATGCGTTACTTTCTTTCAAGTGGATTTGTTGCATTTATTTGACCTGAATTAAATGATGCCTTAAATTATATGGAAATAAATGTTCGTACAGCTGTTCCATTTTTAGGCCTTTTAAGATGGCCTTATAGATTTACCAAGATGTCTGTCTGTCCGTCCGTCTGTGCGTCCGTCTGTGCGCACGATAACTCTCTTTAAACAAAAGCTATCGACTTGAAATTTTGCACACTTCATCTTCGGGTCAAAAGTAAGGATGAGTTCGGAGATGGGCATGATCGGTCAAGTAATTGGCCGGTGGGGGTCATTTCCATCCAAATGCGTTGCCCTTAACTACCAAGAACCTTTAGAGCAGGTTAAATTATTTAAGTGTAAGTAAAATATTTGTAGCTTGAGAAATATCTATAGTAATAATTTTAAGTAATTTTAGTATGAAGATTGCGACTGACCTCAAAGCGTTTAAATTGGAGTGGAGTTTCAGAAATTTTAAACCTGGGAGACCCGACGGATTTCTAAAATTTGTAGTAGGTAGTTGAAATTTGGAACAAAGGTTGCTAGTGGATTGTAACAGACAAAAATGAATTTAGGTTGGAAAAATTTTAATCTTGATGGACCCTATGGGGTGACCCATACTGATTTTTCAAAATCGTCATATCGAAGTGAAATTTGGGAGAGAGGTTGCAAATGGGTCTTAATGGAACAATATGAAATGAAATTGGTAAAATTTATATCTGATGCGGTTATCCATATCTATTTTTAGAAATTGCGTTAAAAACATGAAATCCGGCACGGTAATACTTACAATTAGTGGCTTCTCATCAAAGAATTTGAAATTAAAAGTTAGCTAACAAGGGATACTTTCGAGGTGATAGTCGTGTCCAGGGTACCACTCATTGGTCTAAATGTTTTTTGATCGAGTGTTTCTCACGGGTTCGGGTTCTTACTTCGGGTTTCGGGTTCGGATCGGGTTTGGGTCCTGCTTCGGATACGAAATTTTTGAACCCGAAACTTTCGGGTTCGGGTTCGGGTCCGAGAAATGTGATCCCAAAATTTCGGGTTCGGGTCGGGTTCGGGTTCCGACTAAGAACCCGAAACCCGAACCAACAAGAACTTTTTGCCACAACGAACACGAAAACATTAAAAAAGAAAATAAAGTGTTAACCAAACTTGCTACGACGGTTATGCTGCAGTAATTCATTAAATAATTCAAATTTTTAATTGTCGTAACTTCTTTTCACAAGTGTCTTCAATTAGTGTTATGGTTTGAATATTAAAATAAAATATATTTTTTATCAAAAATTTGCAAAATATTTAGCTTGAGCTTACTTTAATATTGGAAACTTGAAACTGAAAATCATTTTCAGTTTTCAACTGATTTAAAAATTTCTGAATGTCACGGAAAGCCATTATTCATGGTCGATTTTTTGAGATTGCATTATTATGGTCAAGGAATTAAGAGTTATGTACTTATGCAGAAATGTGCTTAATTATAATTCCTCGGTCATATTTACAGAAGTATTGTTTGTTTGAAACCTTCCAAAGAATTTTTAGCTAAAAAGCCAGTCACCCCTTAAAGTTAAAATATATTCGGGTTTTTCGGGTTCGGGTTTCGGATTTGATCCGCCAGTTCGGGTTCGGATCGTTGCAAACGGGTTTCGGGTTCGGGTTGCCCTCAAGTTTCGGATCAGTGGCATCGGGTTCGGGTTTCGGATTTGCAAGAACCCGACCCGTGAGAAACACTAACCCATCTTCGAACTCGGTCGATGCCCAGATGCATGTCTGTATCAAATTTGGTAAAATTCAGCCTACTCCTTCGAGAGTTATGGAAAGACAGACAGACGGACAGGTCGATTACATAAGCCCTAGTCCGGGCTAAAAATTATATGCCAATCGTTCATTAGAGTCTGGCTTTTATGTAATAATGCCGTCTTAAAAGGCCTCGCAAAGTTGCTTGGAGTAGGTTTTATGTTAAAAAATTTGTATTGTCAAAAAATAGTATCTTGAAATTGTTTTGATCAGCATGTGTCTATACGCAACGTGGGGTTTGTAATTCTTGAAATAATTCTTGCCGGCTAAAATAAATCCATATATAAACTACGTGTGCTAATTATTCAAAGAATTCAAAGACTTCCAACAAACCCTGACTAATTTGTGGTTCGAAATATTTAAAATTTCAATTTAAAATAACAAATAAACTGAAATACGTAAAATTAGTTTAGTCATTTTATTGTTGCTAACTTAATAAAAATTCTTTCATCTAAAATTTCCGAAATATTTACATATTTTTGGAAATGAAAGAAATACTTACCACGTACAAAACATTATTTGGAACCCGAACGAGACATGAGAGTAAAATGCAACTTTACTACGCTCGAGCCCTGTAACATTCTATGACTTTTCTATGGCAGACAGAGATACATGAAAGGCCCATAAGCCCTTACTCAAACAGCAGAGGGTAAATGACAGAAAGGTCATTCTTTGTCCAAGTGTTGAACTCAACTTACAGTTGAGACACAGTGTGTTTCAGTTCAGCACTTGGACAAGTCATTCTATGATGCTATAATGTAGCCGTCCAATGATGAAAATATCATAAATTCTTTGGTTACTTCTTTTGAAATATTTGGGCATATTTAGTGGTTTGGGGTCTGAGAATACGTATTATACAATTTTAGTATGACCACACCCTCTGGGGGATGAGTTGCACCCCACGAGGGGGTTTGGCTTTGGAAACTATTCCGTTTGATAGATCTCTTGAAGCTGAACTAAATTCACATATATTTTATCAACGTAGGACGCTCCAGAACAAAATTATCAGAGTTTGAACAGCGAATTTTTGATTTGAGTGGCGCAGTGCGCGACCCTCATTCATGGGTTCGCGGTTCATTCTAAGAAAGAGAATTGATTTCACGCCTCTTTTTCAGCAAGATTTTTTTTAACACGCAAAAATATAGCTGTAGTAGCCTGAATTTGCACACTAAAAAATATCTAACAGCATTCAATCATTTTCCAAAATGCGAAAATGTTATTGTTTATTTTTTTCCGCAGTGATCCCATGCCTACGTATTGTCTCTTTAAATTTCTTAATACGTTTTAGCCCGAACCAGGGCTTATGTAATCGTCATGTCCGTCCGTCCGTCTGTCCGTCTGTCTTTCGATAACTTTCGAACGAGTTGACCGATTTGGACCAAATTTGGTACAGACATGTATCTGGGCAATGCAACGACCGAGTTCGAAGATGGGTTCGATCAGAAAAGTTTTGGACCGGTGGGGGTCATATGAGTGGGTGGGGTATTATGCACCAAAATTTCAAAATTGTGTTAGAAAGCTGAAATTTGGCATAGAGGTTGCTAATGGCTCCTAAGGAAAGAATATGAGGTTAAATTGGAAAATTTTTCAATCGGAGGTACCCGAATGGGTGACCCATAACGATTTTTTCAAAATCATCCGATCGAGCTGAAATTTGGTATAGAGGCTGCTAAAGGCCCCTAATGGAAGAATATAAAGTCAAATTAGTAAAATTTTCATATCTGGGACCCGTTGGGGTGACCCATACCGATTTTCATAACTTGTCCCAAAAAACTGAAATTCGGAACGGTGATACTTAATGGCTCCGCATGAAATTATATGAAGTCAAAGATAAACAAAAAGTAACCAGAGGGGCACTAAGGGGTACGGGGTACCCATACCGATTTCAAGAGTTTATATATTTAGCTAAAAATTGAGCGTGGAATCGAAAAAATAACTTAGGATTAGAGTTTCGGAGGGTTGAATTTTGAAATTTTATAATTGAAAATTCTGACAAAAATGAGTTTACTACTCAACCCTGGTTCGGGCTAAGCAAAGCTGTACTGATAGGTTTTAATAACTACGATATCTTTTTCGCATTTTAGAAAATGATTGAATGCTGTTAGATATTTTTTAGTGTGCAAATTCAGGCTACTACACCTATATTTTTGCGTGTTTAAAAAAATGCTTGCTGAAAAACGAGACGCTACATCATCAAAACTCCTCCCCCAGAGGGTGTGGTCATGCTAAAATTTTGCAATGAGTATTCTCAGACCCCAGACCACCAAGTATTTCAACCCAAGAATTTATGATATTTTCACCATTGAGCAGCCGCATTGTGGCATGCATGCTATACTTATAATATATGTACTATCTATGTATTATACCATTATACTATTGTACAGAGGCCCACCACAAGAGAGTTTTCCCAGAACCGACAGCGAAACAGCAATTGCTATTCTTAGAGGGTCATGCATGCAATCTTGATCAAAAAGTGAAAGTATTTTTATAAAATAACTCAAGGGGAGAGAAAGAACTGCCAATTGAAAAAAAGTTTTTAAAATCAACTCTCTCGCCGCTAAAGTTCAAAAAATGGGAAGTAAATGTGTTTTTGTGGTAAAACAATAATTTTATGTGGCGAAAAGCATTGACCTGTATTCCCCCAAAGTATTTATACATTTTTGATGTGTAAGTCAAAATTTTGAAATATTTTGAAATTAGTGGTTGACCCTTCTCATAGGCAGGACTGAGCAAGTTATGCACGGTGCGGTTGAGGCCGAGATGATGAGAAACTCGCGGCCTCCTTCACTTTATGGTCTGGATGGAGGTAAAGGTTTCTAACTCATCCGCACCATGTGTAAGTCAAAATTTTTCAAAATTTTGACTTACACATCAAAAATGTATAAATAATTATGGGGAATACAGGCCAATGCTTTTTGTCACATAAAATTATTGTTTCACCCCAAAAAAACACATTTATTTCCCCTTTTTTGAACTTTAGCAGCGAAAAAGTTGATTTTAAAAACTTTTTTCAATTGGCAGTTCTTTCTCTCCCCTTGAGTGATTTTATAAAAATACTTTCACTTTTTGACCAAGATTGCATGCATGACCCCCCAAGAATAGCAATTGCTGTTTCGCTGTCGGTTCTGGGAAAACTCTCTTGTGGTGGGGCTCTGTATCTATCTATCTCGTTGCCACACGATGAGCCATGTTACTTTGTTAGGGAGGATATATCTCTGGTCGTGTGTCTCGTTATATTGTATGCCATGGAATCTATATAGTGTTCCAGAGGGGAGTGCGTCCATGATCGATGATATCTCAATAAAAATCACGCGGTGCAAATAAGTACAATTCTTATATCATTCTTATTTTATTATTATCAAGTGTTTGTGGTTGAGTTGACCTGAATATTTTAGAGAATACAGCAACAACAGCGAACATAAAATCATTATTATTGAATATGCATTATTACTGATAAAAACAAGACTAGATGAATCAAGGACTTTACACAAAATCGTATAAATATAAGTTTACATAATTGTGATGAAGATGACACGATGTAATAAAAAAAAATTGCATTTTACGGTTCGTATAAAAAACCTCCAGAAACAAAAATCATGCGACGATACGGAATATTACGACATTAATTGTTGAGAAATACATATTTGCATTGGAGCAGGACTGATTTTAGGTAGATCGACCTGATGGAAAATTACGCTAAACCAAACCAACCAAATAACCTCATAATAATAATAAATATGGAAAAGGAGATCAAAACAAGGACATAATTAAGACAAATCCAACACCCACCCACTAAATTAGCTTAATGCAATTAATTAAACAACACATTTTTTAGGAAACCTTGCAATAATAATAAATTATAGTAATAATTACATTGGCAAGCATATTTAGTATTTAGATGATAAAACGTCTCGTACATAATTTGTCACGTTTTTTTTACTTTCCAAAAAACCATCATGCAAAAAAAAATTGCACTTTTTTTCCCTACTTCAGCTGACATTATTCAATAAATGTAGTGTTCGCTTTTCTTTGTATTTACTTAAGTGAGAATTTTTTGAGTTTTGTTCATTTTTGATGACTGAGCATTTGTGGAATGCGATTGATACTTAAAAAAATTCTTAATTTACGTAAATATTTAGTCTGGCTTTTTTTGGCATCCGCGGCGATTATCCAAAATTAAATTATGAACTAAAGTTATACATAATTAATTATACAAGTCGTTTGTTTCGAGATAAGTAGAAAACATTTTAGTAATAAGATGATCAACGTCACAGAAAAATTATGGCTTAAAATGCATTATGTATGGTTCGACGACGAACGGCCGGTGAGTGAATAATGAAGGACATTTACATTTACGGAGTCAGTTTTAATATGATGAGGATGATGAGGATGATAATATTAAAATATTATGTCTTCATAATACAGAGAGTCCACAAAATTTCGTCTCATTCATTCATTCATATCCTAATTTCTCTGAAGCATTATTGTAATTCATAATTATTCATCAGACGCGATGTTGCTGGTGTCTCGATGAGTCTTTGTGGTAAGCTCCTGCGTATGGATTTCCACTTTGTTGTGGTCGACCTCCTCCTGAAGAATGAAATTATTAGCATTTTTAGTCAGGGTGTTGACTCTGACTTTACAGGTATGCAAATAAATATGCAGGCAACGAACCTCTATTTCTATTGGGGCCTCTACCTTCACCAAAGCCGTGGGGTGGCAAACCACCACGGGGTGCACTTGGACCAGCAATTGCAGAGTAGGGGGGTGGGGCTCCGGATGGAGTTTGTTGAGATTGTTGAGACGAGGCAGCAGCCCCGTTGGGCACGTTGGGAATATTGGAATTTGCAGCACGGTATTGTGCATGGCGCTGTATTATGTAAAATAAAATTTGCTTATCTATTTATTTACTTATGTATCTACTTGATAAATATGTTAGCTTACGTGACGTCTAAGAGTACTAATGGGTCGCCTAAGAGTATCTCCGATACTGAAATTAGAGAAATGTAATGAAAAGTTTCTTTTAAATTTAATCAACCACCTTTCCCAGCTACTTACCGAATGTGAGGGGCTTTCTTTGGATTTGAGGATGGCGTATGAACGGCACAACACTTGATGAACATTCCCATTATGATTATGAATCCTACTCCCATCAATAATACGTAGTACCAGTTCTCCTAGAAAAATATGATTCATTTAATAAACACAAATATATATTGACTATTATTTAAATTAATCCCACTTACCGTAACCCACTGAGCAACATTTAATAAAGTTTCCTTATTGAAAAGCAAATTTTTTAATCTGGCCAACGGTCCTTCCGCATCCACGGCTCGACACTTGAGGAAAACATCACAATATCCCTGAAAAAGATATGTGCATGTTTAAAAATGTGCCATTTTTCTCATCCACGCCACAAATACTGTACTTCATACCTGGAAGTTATCGCATGGCGCACCAGGTCGCAAACTTAACCCGTCCGGCAAGCCGTCCAAATTTAGTTCTGATGTAGACCTACATCTCCCCATCTTATCGAGACATGCCAATTCGCAAAGTTTTCTTTTATCCGCATTTTTGTCACTGCTGGATAGAAAACATTCCTCCAAGTCATACTTGAGACAGATTGATCCTCTACACTCGCCTCCTTGGCAGACCTAAAAATAACACCACGCCGTTAATAAACACAATATTCAGCAACAATTAGCAAAGTATGTGTATCTACCTGAGTCCCATCATTGCACGGGGTCAGATTCGGACGAGGTTTAGGAACCGGACATTGTGCCGTTGTTCCGTTACAATACGACGTGTAGCTGCATTCCGTCTCCTGTTTGCAAAGCACTCTCGTCTGCTGGACGAAATGGCAAGACTGATCGCAACACGGCCCTTCACTCGGACTGCAGCGGAACAGGGGTTTCCTTTTGCACCCTTGCGCGTCGGGATTTTGCATGCGGTCCTTCTCACTAATCTGCCTGGGGTAGCAACACTGTTCTTCGCATTCTTCGTAGGTGAACCCACAATCACATTCTTCCCCCTCTTCGACAATCTTGTTCCCACAGAAGGTTCCATTTGTGGCTGGAATGATTCAATGCAAAATTTGAAACATGTAAAACATGTAAAAAAAAAATTAATATTTAACTCACCAATGAAACAGTTATGCTTTTTAGAGTCGTGAATTATAGCATCCAACACGGACGAAATATTTCGAACGGAACATTCCGAAAATTTCTGAAAAAAATGGAATGTTACAGTATTAATTATTACTCATAAAATCAGTCGGAGTTTAATCTAACCGAATTATTTGGACGATCGCCACTCGTCGCGGAAGCGAACATGATAAAATTTCCGTCTGTTCCACCAGGACGACATTTGTTGGGGTAATCATGCTATAAATTAATAAGTATCGATAAGTTTCCAACCCACAAGTAACTAATCTATAATAATCCTGAAAATTACCGGGGAGCCAAAATTGTGTCCAATTTCGTGCGCTAACGTGAGCTGCGATACTTTCGGAGGGACGCGACTATTATAGTTGACAAAGGTAATTATCCCCGTGTTCAAACTTCGCTTCGTGGACTGATACACACCTCCGATCGTTTCCGTGTACGTTTTATACTTTTCGCAAACACCGCCCGACGCTCCTATAAAAATTAGACGGTAAAAGTTACACTTTAAAAATTCATGAAACCTCGAATCACTTCGCAAATAAAAATCCTACCCGAAGCGGAAGCCACCCACGCCAGTCCGAGCGTACCCCCGGTGAAATCTCGGTAAGTGAAGACATACGCCAAACAAAATATTTCATGGTCGGAGAGAGAATGCAAATTTAAAAAGTTGCTGACGTCAATGTTCTCCATGCAGAAGAGGTTCTTTTCAGAGCCACGGTACTCCGGCCGGCACACTTTGTCCGTGTCGATCTAATGAGAAAAAAAAGTTATTTTTAACGCGTCCCAAGACAAAACCAATCATGATTAATTAAGTAACCTTAATACGCTGCACTTCGAATCGGATATTCTTATAGGTTTCTTTCCCATCGAAGAGAGTGTTTGAGTAGATGTGGTTCACGGCTTTGACGTGTTGCGCGATCAGGGAGAGGATTTCTTCGCGAATTTTGTTCTCATCCGTGGTTCGTTCCTTAATACAGTAATGTAAAGCATGTAAATTAATTCCCTACTAATAATGGAGGTTCCCCAAGGTATGCTCACAGATTTTTACCAAACTAGTGTCAATCGATCACAAAAATTAATGTGAACTTTGCAAATGACACGATCTAAGGATCTCGAATTTTCACCGGGGATATTTACATATAAAGAGAAGAAAACATGCCTTAAAATTGGCAAATTTTACACTTTGGAAATTTACTGCATGTTTTCTTCTCTTCGGATGCAAATATCTCTGCCAAACCTTCGCATTGGAAGATCGTGTCTCTTGCAAATTTCATATTTATTAAATTTATGATAGATTAACACAACTTTTACAAAATCTGTGAGCATACGCTGGGAGACCTCCATTATAAGATCTTCACCCAAAAATTATTATCTACCTGCTCCGCAATATGTTTCCACAACAAGGGGTCCGTCTGTATCGAGAGGGTGCACGTTGTCCTCGAATTAGCCGAATTAGACCTCGCCGCCCGCCTCCCTCTACCTCCACCTCCACCAGTATTGTTATTAAATTTGAGATTCGCCTCTCTTGAATACATCGAGTACGAGTGGTCATCTTGGTCCAGATAAAATATATCGTTGGAAATCAGCCGATCCGCGACCGGCAATCCTACCATTTTCTGGAATGGCTTAGATTTCGGATGTTTCAATTCTGGCATTCCTCCGTCCACCGCAGAGTTTTGTATTTCCGACATCCACTCCATCACTTCATCCGTAATCCCACAACCTTTCGCGTGACCGGTCCGATGGTGATGGTAGGGATCGTGAACCTGCGAAAAAAAAATTGCAAATTAATTCGCACATGACAAAAAAACAACCTTTTCAACACACCTCTCGATCCGTGTATATCACAGAATGAAGGCTTTCATTTGTACTGGGGAGAGTATATTTGTGAGATCGTTCCACGTAAAATGTTTCCTCCGGGGTGATAATCTTCCCATCGAAGACGCCGTCCCGTATCGAACCAAACGCGTGACTCTGCGCCACCCCTGCAAAAATATTCGCAAATTAGTAATTAATTGCACAAATAATTCATCCATCGATTCACTCACCATCCACATGGCCTGCATAAATGTGCGAGAATTCCCTCTCCTGCCCAGCTCCGTCCCCTTCGAGGTGCAAATTCGGGCTGAAGGAGGTCGTATCTCGTCTCAGTCTTAATCTAAAGTCTCGCTGGTGTGATTTAAAATTTATATGGACTTCCGGCTCCTCCTCGGCGCCCCAACCGTCCCCCGTCGCCCACCGCTTCACGCGCAAGTGCTTCTCGTGCACGGCGGCCGGATCGTAATCCAGCGTTTCGTAGTGGTGGATGTATTCATTCAGTCTTGATGCTGCAAAGAAAAGAAGAAAAAATCCGGGTTACAAAAATTACAATGCTTGTAATTACCATTAATTAACTAACGACCCATTTAAATTCTAGGCAGGAAGGAAGCCTCCTTTCTACATAACCCTGACCTCACCCTGAAAAAACGTGCAAACAATGCAAACCTCTCTCTAAATCTATCCGTCACCACGGTTCACTAATAACAGCAAAAACCCAGCCCAACCCATACTTATCAGCGAAGAATATCATTCTTACGTACAAGTTTTATTATCATTAACGTCCTAAAACAATCTCGTTACGAGAAAAGGATGTCTAAAAAGATAACAATTCTTGACAAGAAAATAAAAAGAAGCTCCACTTCTTTTTTTACAGAAATCGCTACATGAGTCCGACCACTTACTGTATGACCATCATTTATTTATTATCTAGGTAATGCAACCGCGTGCCTAATCCGATTCGAATTCAGGCAGCCTTGAGGTCCCAAAGGTAGCAAAATACTGGTTTTATACCACATAGATAAAATTGAAGAATGGTGTCTTCCTCCTGATTAAGAAATGACTGATGGATTATTACATAGTTTCATATTATTATTATTATTTAGATGCACCAGGTCCCGTTATTTACGTAATAGAATAAAATAACAAAGGTCTCTTTTACAAGAAATAATACAAGTTTTTTTTCTGATTTATGACGAGATTATCGCGATGTAGGCCAAAAGTAAGGAGACCTTCGTATTTTTTGCCTGATCCGACCAACCCCACGTCATTTCATTGCCATACCGCACCGCAAGCAAAAATTGATCAGAATTTCCAAATGAACCCTTTCCGACACGAATTTCGTTTCATTTCATTTCCCAACAAAAAGCATGGATTTTCCCGAATTTCCAAGGACTTCGTTTTAAAAAGCGTCGCGTTTTTCATGCCAGTCACGAACATCATGATAAACACACCGACTTTTTAAACAAGCTGCCGAATAGGATAATCAAGTCGACCCGGTGATGACTCCCATCCCACTTTTGCATTATGTACAACTGCATTTTAGACGAGTTATCGCGTTGCACTTTGCAGAGTCGAATTGCACTATTGCAAATCATACTTGTACATAAAATACGTCGAGACATGCAAACTTTCAATAACCAACATACAACATAACCCACAGCGATACGACACGTAAACCAAAACCGACACTAATCCCGTTACTTACGTGTATATTTACTTCTCGGGTGGTGAATAAAATAAAATAAAATCGCACCTCAACTACCCAAAGCCATTAGCTTTGAAAAATAAAATGCAACTGCTAACTGACTCCGGAATAATGTGCACGCTTAAAAATGAGGCGATTCAATGCAATTTAGGGTGCAGAGCAGCATGTCCCAAAAAATTTTCACACGCAGAATAAAACTATCAGACAAATTTAAGTCATACTTTTGTAAACTGTGCAAAAATTTTATGATTAGATTTTGGAAACTTTTTGCAATTGACTTTATGGGGTTGGTCACCACTCATTATTAATAGACAACCAACCAAGCGGCGGTAGCACATTAATGGCTAATTTCCGACAAAATCGTATTTATCGCCGTTGAATTTTTCTAAACTGGGTACAAATTTTATAAAAAGATTTCTCAAACTTTTTGCAAACTCAATTTTCCCTCAAGAATTTGCATCTGTGCAAACATTGCAAAAATCCGGTTATTTACCTCATCAAAATTATTACAATTGTGGCTTAAATGACAAAATCTATTTCAAAATTTCTAAGTGTGCCTTCTAACCTATGACTCACAACTACAACGGAGCAGGCAAACCCCATTCCCATTCCGGTTTCGTATCACATTTCTTTCTCTCTTTACATAAATGTTTAACTTGACCTACTCACACTTCACTTCACTTGGTCATCAAAATTGATTCACCTCTTTTTTCTTCTGCATTTACCGTCGTGTCATCAAAGTAAAAAGAAAATAGGGACGAAATCATCAAACAATTCGGTATGTATTTCATTCCTTTGGTTCGTGTGAGAATATATTTTCTCTCGCGTGTTGTAATCTGGATGCAATGATTTCAAATGGGCGTAAAGTAAGTAGATCTAGGATTTCATTACAGGCCGGGAACTTGGGTCTTGGAAACAGTGGCCCCGGAAATTTGAGGGGACAGAGGGACAATGTCCCCACGGTTGTTCGGTGTCCCCATCATCTCCCCATGTTATATAAACCCCTCTCTCCCCTCTATTCTACAATGTTAATGTCCCCACGGCTTCCGCGGCCCCTGTTTGGAAAAGTAAATCCGAGCGAGCCGTGTTTAATAGCTCGATGGGGATTTCACGTATTTATAGTGCATCGCTACTTTCTCTGCTGCTTTCTCCGCTCCTTTTTCGACGTCAATCCGCCGTCCAACTAAAACCGACCGACCAAACTGCCATGCCACAGAGACAAGGGCAGCCTCGTTCGTTCTTTCGTCCCCTGCTCTGGAGAAAGAGCCTGGAGATTCATTCATTCTTAAAGATGCAGATAGAGGATGAATCGTTTCCATCACTTTTACTTCTCCCCCTTCCTCCTCGGAGCAGAGAGAAGTGCTCCCCTTCCAGCCGGTTTTTTAGTGGGGACAGTGTTCTACAAGAGAATAAAACGCCTACAGACGACAAAAAGTGTACACATATTCGGTGTAATGCACAAAAATTCGATAAAATTCATACAAGCTTGATAAAATGTATGTAATGATTTTTACTCAAAGGATGACGCCGATACGAAAAATAACAAAATTTCAATAAAACTTTAAATACCTCAGGTTTTTAATATATGTTTTGGTTCCATCATACTTTAATTTCCAAGCTATCATATTTTTAATGCAATCTTTAAACCATTTAATACATCTATTTGAAACATTATAATTGCATGATTTAATTACTTTTGGCCAACTCTCTCCAAAAAATGCCACGTTAAAATTTTACCAGACTTTCACCCTGCACAAAATGCATTTCACCACCTCAATATTTCTGGGCAACCCTGTCACACAGCGGAAACCGGAAAAGTATGTAGACCCTTTCTCCCTTCCCGTTCTCATTGCTATCCAAAAAGTAGAGAAATATTTAAACTCGTAAGATTTGAATTTTATTCATATTACATGAGACAACCGGTCCTATACACAGTTTTAGGATGTCGTTTTTCTTCTCCTCCTCCTCTGTTCTTTAAAACAATAGGGAGAAGAAATGGGGAAAGATTATCTACATAGTTTTATCCTCCCCTGTTTGTCCTCAAATATTTATTTCTGACTCTTCTTCTCAGAATCCAATCCAAGAAAAAAAGGAGGAAAAAACGGCTACAAACAAAATTCACAACTCCAATTCTCCGAAAATATACCCACTCCGCTGGCTTTCCTGACATGGTGACGGATGGAGAAATGACATCAAATTGGCATTATACAAATCCTCCCTCCCCCCACTTTTCCTATCTCTCGTCTCCGCTCCATTTCACCCAGACCATATATGAGCGATTTTGTATATATACACGACTAGCCACTAGCCTATCTCACCAATGTTAATTCACCACCACCAATGCCTCTTCCCTGCTCGGTGTCTTACTAGTGCCAAGTGCACCTCTTTTGGGTCTTTTCTTCCCTGGGGACCAGACCCGTGGAAATAAAACTGGGTATCCATCATTCCATACGGATTGCTATTCCATGCACCCAGACGGACAAAAAAGGACAGGCCACCCATATTTCATCGGTAGTCAGCCCCCGCAAATAAAAAGATAACATATTCAGGTCGTGCGGACAGGATGTGACTGATTTTGATAGATTTTGACCCCTTAAGGACTCAATGATAAGTCAAAATAAGCATATTTTTAAGCATTGCTCCGCTCTGGGAATTTATTCTGAAAGACAAAATTGTAGGACAGGTCGTTCCCAATTTAAAAAAGATATATACTCCAGATTTTGACCCTTTTGAAGGAGGGGATCTCAAGTTTAAGAACCTTTAGAAAAATTGGAATTCATCGAAACTGGCTTAAAAAACTCAGCCCCATTCCATTAATCAACTCTCTAACGGCAAATTCGTCTTCCAGAATTTTAAAATAAGTTCCCAGAGCCGAGAAATGATTAAAAATATCCTGATTTTGACGATTATATTCCTACGTTAAAAATCGACCCCATCCCTCCTGTACGACACACCTCTACACACACGAAAATTGCCCTCGATCATTATACGAATCTAATAATCTCTCAAAATTCTACCCAACTTCTCCTTCTTTCATATTTGATTCTGGATTCATATTAACACAAAATTCGGTGTAAATTCACTCAAGGAATAAATTCGGAATAAATTGGACATCTGAGAGAGATCGCGTCACATTTGACAAAATTTCTTCCCGGAAATCATCATCACATTTATTTATACAAGTTCTACCAGCCTTTCCTCTCCTCTCAGAGCTGACATCGACCCTGTTTCCATACATTTCTCGGTGGACTAGTTGAATTAAGTGGGCACGTGTAATGTCAAAAACTGCAAGTGAAATGAACTCGCTCCATTAGGAGGGAAATTCCATAAAGATGAAACGACCCTCACATTACGTTACGTAACGTAATGTTCGCTTACAATTTCCTCCACGTTCTGTGTTCCATATTCTCGCTCGTCGTCTCAAGAACAAAAGCCTCGTCCTCTTCAACCAACATACAACAAACCATTAAATACATTTTCCTCAAAATCCGCCCACCACCACGTCGCCAAAGAACAAAACTAAAAGCCTCACTCGTCATCATCTCTGCACTGGAAATAATGTCGGGGTAAAATTGAAGACAGGTTGGTAACGATTTGTTACAAAAACGATAATATTTTTTTGAGTATACAAGTTGCTGGAGTCGATTTCTCATTTCGGATGGATGATATTGATAAACTAGGATTTAGTGGAGAATTATTTGTTGTCCACAAATTATTACCAAGCCGGTAGAATCACATATTATTTACATAATGAATTTTGAAATGTGTCGATTCCACGTCAGAATTAATTTTTCTTGAGAAAGT